AGTATCTAAATAGAATAATTTAGAAATAATTTCCAAATTTATTAGTAAACTCTCGTTATTTAGAAAAAAAAAACGATAATAATAGTCATAGTGTAAGAAAAAAAAAATGGCCCAGGAGGGTATCGAATCCGCTACCAACTGAGCTAATGCACGATTAGCCAACGTTTGTCTTACATTACTGTATATTAAATGTTGTTGCAAATTTGGATGTCTAGGGTGAAATTCAAGTCGGATACATAACCTACCAATTTCATAAAATTATAAAACTTAAGTCATTTACTATGGAACCCTGTCAAATTGTTGGTAGGAATGAATAGACAAATTTTAGTTAGCAAATAAAAAACAACAAATACACTATACAGAGAAAACACTGATAATTTAAAACTAGAAAATATGACAATTTTTTTGTGGTAAATATTCACCATATGAACTATTTATTCATGCTATCTATTTGAACATTTACCGTTTCCTTTATTATTCGATAAACAGAGTGATGAATGTACCGTATTATGTGGTTTTATCGTTAATAAGTACAACTGACCTCGTGTCAACCTCAGTATATGGTGAGTGCAGTTACCGCAAACAATTAATGCATTCTGATGGGAAATTAACAAGCGAATCGGTTTGTTTAGTGAGTGGTAATAAAATTTTTGTGAATCGGTGAGTAAATGTCTTTTGTTGGTTGTACGAACTTTATTTTACCTATTTAACTTTACGAAAACACTGTATAATATTAAAATATTACAAAGGTGGTAATAAAAAAGTTGTTGTTTAACATGTGACGCTTAAATGGTAGTAAACGACAAGTTGGCGCTGCTTTTTGATAGAAGAAAACGTAGTGAAAACCGTATGTGTTTTATTGATCCATACTGTTGTGTGTAATTGCCATTTCCGCGTCGTCAGCCGTCTTCGATTAAATTTTAGGTTTAGGTATAGAAATACTTCACAATGTTTTCAAAAAAATCAAAACCAATTTGATATATATTTTTTTGAACTTCCGATAAATTTCTAAAAAAAAATGGGTCTAAAATTATTTAGCAGAACTTACCTCGCTTCTGAGGGATAATCCAGCTTTTCAGATAAAAATTTATAAAATTTAATTTTACGAATTTAATTTTTTTAACTGTTATAATTTTTAACATAAAAATAAGTGAGTGATGCTAAAATACAAGTAAAGTAGCATGCTATGCAAATGTTTCAAGTGAGTTTTTTAGCATTGTGGGATGATATTAAATTTTAGTAAGGACGAAAAACAGAAAAATGCTGTAGAAAAACAACAAAAAAAGAGGAAAAACGACAAAAAAAATGGAGAAAAAAAGTAGGACAAAAAAAGCTACAGAACATCACAAAAACACTCCATGAAAAGACAAGGCAAAAAAGGTGCAAAAACCACCAGAAAAAAACTAAGAAGTATCTAAATAAGAGGAAATCAAAAAAAGAAACAAGCCAAAAAAAACGGGGACAAAAAAATCGAAAAAAGTCCATAATAAAAGAAATAACTAAAAAGTTACAAAAAAAACTTGTGATAAAAAAAAGAAGAAAGCGAAAAATCCACAAAAAAGGCAAAAATAAAGCAGGACAAAAAAACTACAATAAAAAATTCGACAAAAAGGTGACAAAAAGATTCTCAAAAAACACGAAAAAAATATAAAAAAAGACTAAAAAATAGAACAAAAGCCAAAAAAGGAATTAAAAGCCAAAAAAAAACCGACAGAAAAAAATGACAAAAAAACAAGAAAGACAGAAAAAGCTATAAAATTTCACCAAAACACTTCATTAAGAAAGACCACAAAAAAAAACAAAATTATATAAAAAAGAAAATAAAAAACAAACGAAACGCCGAAAAAAAAACGGGACAAAAATATCGAAAAACGTCCATAGTTAAAGTAATTACACAAAAAACCACAGCGATAAAAAAGAAGACAAAACGACGAAAAAAATTAGGTAAAAATCCGAAAAAGAATTAAAAAAGAAAACAAAAAAAACTGCATTAAAAAGACCAAAAGAACACCATAAAATACCAAAAAGGATATAAAAAAAGGAAATTAAATAAAGAAACAAAAAGCCCAAAAAGACGAGGACAAAAATATAGTAAAAAGTTCATTACAAAAGAAATGACAAAAAAAGCCATAAAAAACTGGCGATAAAGAACAAGCCAAAAGCAATAAAAAACGACAAAAAAAGGCCCAAAAAACAAGGACAAAAAGCCAACAGTAGATTGCAAAAACAGTCAATAAAGAATCTGACAAAAAAAGATGCAAAAAAAAACAACACAACAAAGTAAAAAGTATCTAAAAGAAAAGAAATAAAAAAAAAGTAAAAAAGCCCCAAAAAACTGGGACAAAAATATCAAAAAAGTCCATAATAAAAGAAATTGCCAAAAAGTTACAAAAAACAGCAATAACAAAGAAGAAAGCGAAAAACGACAAAAAATGCCCAAAAAAGGAGGACAAAAAAGCTACAAAGATCACAAAAATTTGAAAAAAAATCCGACAAACAAAAAGTGACAAGAAGACTCCCAAAAAAACAATAAATAAGGCTATAAAAATTAGAACAAAAGCCAAAAATGGAATAAAAAAGCAAAAAGAAGCGAAAAAAGGACAGAAAAAAGCTATAAAAGATCACAAAAACACTCCATGAAGAAATATGGCAAAAAATGTGTTAAAAACAACCATAGAAAACCAAAAAGAATAAAAAAGGGAATTAAAAAAAAACAAACAAAAAAGCCAAGAAACGGGCACAAAAATATCGATAAAAGTCCATAATAAAAGAAACTACACAAAAAAAAACAGTGATACAAAAGAAGACAAAAAAACGAAAGCTTAAAAAACAACAAAAAAAATATATATAAAAACAAAAAAAAAAAGAGGTAAAAAAGCCGAAAAAATAATTTAAAAATAACAAAAAACTTCACAAAAAAGAAAAAAGTTGCCAAAAAAACACCACAAAAAACCAAAAAGGATATAAAAAAGGAAATTAAACAAACAAAAAGCCCAAAAAATCGGGGACAAAAATATGACAAAAAATACCATAAAAAACTAGCAATAAAGAAGAAGGCACAGAGGCTACAAACAAAAAACCGAAAACAAAAGGTAAAACAAGGATCTAAAATATGGGACAAAAAAGGCGATTAAAAAACAATGAAAAAACTACAAAAAAGGCCCTAAAAACAAGGACAAAAAACTAACAATAGATTACAAAAACAATCAATAAAAATCCGACAAAAAAGGTCCACAGAACATCACAAAAATAGTAAGAGTTTCTAAGAAAAGAAGAAATGAAGAAAAGAATAAAAACCCAAAAAACGGGGACAAAATTATCAAAAAATGTCCATAATAAAAGAAATTTCCAAAAACAACACAAAAAAATAGCGATAAAAAATGAAGACAAAAAGATGAAAGTGAAAAAAGGCTATAAATAAAAACCGAAAGCGAAAGCTAAAGCTAGGACATAAAAATATGCGATAAAAAAAGGCTACTAAAAAGCGATAAAAAACACAAAGAATCCCAAGAAAGAGGGGAAAAAGGTGACAAAAAGATGCCACAAACAACAAAAAAAGAGATATAAAAAAGGCGAAAAATTGAGGTAAAGGTCCGAAAAAAAGAATTAAAAAAACAAAAAAAATCCAAAAGAAAAAAATTGTCAAAAAACATCAATAAAACCAAAAAAACATAAAAAAGGATACGAAAAAGAAACAAAAGGCCCAAAAAGTCGGAGACAAAAATATTGTAAAACGTTCCTAATAAAAGAAATGACAAAAAAGGCCATAAAAAACTGACGACAAAGAAGAAGACTAAAAGGCCACAAATTAAAACCGAGAACAAAAGGTGAAAAAAATGCGACAAAAACGGCGATTAAAAAGCGACAAAAAATGCCCAAGAAACGAGGACAAAAAGCTAACAATAGATTACAAAAACAGTCAAAAACAGTCTGACAAAAATTGGTAAATAGACACCAAAAAAAAAACAAAAAAGTGACGAAAAACTCGCCAAAAAAATAACGGTAAAAAAATATATACAAAAAAGGCTACAAAGAAGGCAAAAAACCGACAAAAGACCACCGCCAAAAGGGCTACATATATATAAAATAGGCGACAAAGAATTGGAGGAAGGTTATTTCGAAAGAACTTCCCTCGCCTTTGAAATATAGTCCCACAAATCCCACTTCTTTGAAAAATTATGAAAATTGATTTTGCGATTTTATTTTGTGATAACCCCTACGACGTAAAAACCAGTGTCGTAAATTCCAAGAGAGCGCATCCCGCACAAATGCGGACAGTATAAAACATATTTAGTGCCGATAACTAACGGCAAAAAATGAATTGTCAATTTCTCAGAACATGCTTAACTTTAACCGTTTGACTACTAGCACGTTCAGATTACAAGCATCAGCGGTGCATTTGCGTTAAAAGAAAATGAAATTTGTTTGATTTTGTCTCCATAACGCAGATAACATGACTAATTAATTATTTAAGCGCTCTCGTTTTTTCCCAAAAACTTGATGCTTAGCACAGGTACCTTGTTGGTAGAGATGATTAGATGATTAGTCATACACATGAAGTTCTTAAAATATATTTATAAGAGTAAATAGAGTCATTTTAGAGAGTATGTGTCTAATAAAAGCACCAAAACACGGAAATAAAATGTATACTAAATCTGATCTAAATAAACCAAGTACTATCACACTTCTGTTTATCTCCCCTTTTTTTATAGCTCCGGGTCGAACAAAATAAATAATGCGTCGATTGTATATTTTTTGTATTATGTGCCCATTGCAGTTGATGATACTATATATTGTGAAAAATGATACGATATGAAACGCAAATTAAAATTAGAAGCCTTATTTTCCAATAATTAGCAAACGTATGATAATCGTGCCACATAACTTCTTTCTGCATTTATTAAGATTAAATCAAATCTCTGTGTACAAAACAATTTTTCTTGGAACAAGCGATAAAATGACAAATTTCGCACGTCTCAAATTTTGTATATTTGTTTTAGATTAGATAATGGATTCACTAGGGAATATTGCCCTCGCATTCCCCGCACATGGTGCTAGAGACCGATCATGAATCATGGTGAAGAAAGAAAAAAGAAAATTAACCCGAAACAAAGGGCGAACGTCCTATCAACAATAACATTTTTGTAAGTGTCTTTTGGAATCGCGTTACAGAAAAACTAATTGTTTTGCAGTTTTTCGTTCGATTTTTTGAGAAAAGGGTTCAAGCAAGATATAACTGAAAATGACGTCTACGAAGTCCTTCCACAGTTTAAAGCGTCGAAGGTTGGTGATACGTTGGAAAAAGAATTCTTGACACAGAGATCTCAGAAGGATAGAGTTTCGAGTTATCGGTTGCTATGGAGTTGCTACGGCAGGTACTACTTTCTTCTGGGTTTAGTCCAACTAACCATGAAAATGATCATGATGTAGGTAAGTGTTTCGGTGGTTTTAAATCTAGTGAGTTTTTTCCAGAACGATCCTTCCCAAAGCCCAAGGAAAGTTTATTTCTTATTTTTCACCTAAAACCACGCTTAGCAAAAGCGATGCCGTCTACTACGCCGTAGTTGTAATAGGGCTAAATTTTGCCATCTGTACCTATAATCACAACTACCGCTTCCTCATGACGGAGCTAGGAATCAAAATCAAAACCGCCTTTTGCTCTCTTATTTACCGAAAATCTCTAAAATTGACCACCAGTTCATTGTCGAGAAATGGAATAGGAAAAATCGTCACTCTGATTTCCAAAGATGTCAACAGTTTTGAAAATATGGTAATTTTCTTGAACGACATGTGGATTTCGTTGATAGTACTAGTGGTAGCTTCGTGTATCATGTATTCGAAAATAGGAGTGTCTGCTTTAATCGGTCTCTTACTTTTGGTTTTAGTGGTGCCCCTCCAAGGTGAGTTATCACTATCAATTTTTGATAATTCGCTTTGATAATTCGTTTCATAGTGTATTTGGGTAAACTCACGTCCGACTTCCGAATCAAAGCTGCAAAAGCCACCGACGAACGGTTACAATACTGTCAAGAAACCCTATCAGCTATCAAACTTATCAAAATGTACAAGTGGGAGGATTTCTTCTGCCAAAAAATTTTACGAGCTCGGAAGGAAGAAATGAAGAAGATAAAACTATTCTATTTTGCTAGATCCATTTTCACGGAACTTGGAACCTTCATCATCACTCTAACCTGGTACATATTGATCACCACGTACACAGGTCTAGGGAATCAACTGACTGCCGAAATAGCGTTCTTCCTCCGGGAATGTCTGCGCGCTTTAAGATCACCCATGACCATATCAATCCCCCTGGGAATACTTCGATCGTCTGAACTAGTAGCTTCAATACGCCGAATTGATACCCTCCTCACGGATAAAGAACTTACCAAAACCGTGCAACGAGAAAACAAACACGTCAAACCTTTCATACAAATGACAAACGTGGCCATCAAAGTTGGCGATTGTGAGGTTCTAGAAGATGTTAATTTGAAACTCGGTGTTGGGGTTAATATTATCAGTGGGAAAATCGGTGGTGGCAAGACCGCACTTTTACAAACCATAGTGGAAGGTTTGGGTTATTCTGGTCTAGAAAGAGTGGGTACCATTTCATACGCTTCCGAAGAACCGTGGTTGTTCCCATCCAGTATCAAACAAAACATCCTGTTTGGTCAACAATATAACGAAAAACGGTACCGCGAAGTCTTGAGGGTTTGTGCCCTAGATACGGATCTTGGTACTTTCAAAAAAGGTGACGAAACTATTGTCGATGATCGTGGACGAAATTTAAGCAAAGGACAGCAAGTTAGAATCAATTTGGCTAGAGCTGTGTACAATGACAGTGATATTTACTTGCTAGACGATTGTTTATCGTCTTTGGATGTTTATTTACAAGAGTACGTTTTCACGGAATGTGTGAAAAATTTTCTCGACAATAAAGTCGTGGTTTTGGTTTCCAACAACCGACGATTCTTTAATAGGAGTGATAACGTTTTTGTAGTAGTTGATGGTAGTGTTAAGAGCGTGACAGTCGCTGAGTTACCAGAAACTACAATCGATGACTTAATGACGGACGACAATAACGTCAAAACTGACACTCTAGAGAGCGAAAAATCGGAAATTAGTGAAACCACGAAATTACTCGACCAAAAACCGTACCAAAATATCTACCACGAGAAGGCAAAACAAGGCAAAGTCGAGCTTGGTGTCTACAAAAAGTATTTAAATTTCGCCGGTGGTCTCTTCATCATGTCTTGGGTTCTCCTACTTTACATAGCGACCCAAACGGGGCTGGGTTACTCAGAGAAGTCGGTAAGCAGATGGTAAGTGGGTTTGAGGTTTGAACCACAACTATACTATTTTTGTAGGGTCAACAGCCAACAAAATTTAGCCACTTCACCTACGAATACCACGGAATATCAACAACTCTTAGACAACGACAGAAAACAGTTAAACTTGTACACTTTGGCGATCGTTCTATCCGCTATCTTTTTGACAACACGAATCTTTGCCTACTATAGTTTTGCGGCTAAAGCTGCCTCTGCTCTTCACAAGTGTATGACGATATCAGTTATCAATGCCACGATGAAATTTTTCGATGTGCGTTATTTTGGGAATATTTTAAACCGGTTTGCTAAGGACATGTACACGATTGACGAGTTATTGCCTTTCAATGTGGACGAGTGTCTAAAGGTAGCTACACTCGATTGACTATTATCAATTTAATAACTCTGTTCTAGTTCGTCTTCAACTTTATCAGTGCCGTGGTATTAATTGTGTCAGTCAACGTCTATTTTTTAATTCCTATTGTCATTTTCTTCGTTGTACTATTTTTCATGCGATTTTTTTACATTCCAACGGGGAGAAGTATAAAGAGACTCGACTCAGCAAGTGAGTTTATCAATTTTATCGATTGGTGGTTGATAGTGGAAGCTTTTAGCCCGAAGTCCTGTGGTTGGTCATCTCAATGCAACTCTGGAAGGTCTATCGACAATCAGGGCCTCTGGAACTGAATCCATTCTGAAGAAAGAGTTCGACAGACATCAAGATCTTCACACTTCGACTATTTACATGGAACAAAGTGCTTCTAGGTTTTTTGCCTACGCTTTGGACCTACTGTGTAATTTCTTCATCGCAGTGATTATCATCAGATTTCTGGTCTATGACAAAGGTAAGCATTGTCTAGAGGTTGTAGTTACAACAAAAAATTGTTTTTAGATACCCAAGCCGGTAGTGTTGGTTTAGCGATTTCCCAGGCTTTATCACTACCAGGACGCTTACAATGGGGTATAAGACAATGGGCGGATTTAGAAAGTCACATGACATCAGTAGAAAGAGTCCTAGAATACACCAACATAGAAAAAGAAAACCGAAGTGGCCGCTTGCTCGAAAACGTGTCTTCTTTCAAAATCTCCTACAAGAACGTCCATCTAGAGTACGAAAAATCCAAAGGCCACGTTCTCAAAAGTATCAATTTTGTTATCAAACCTGGCGAGAAGGTTGGAATTGTTGGAGGAACCGGCGCAGGCAAATCGTCGTTGATATCAATCCTGTTTAAACTGTATCAATACGAGGGCAGCATCATCGTCAACGACATTGACATCAAATTGATCTCTTTAGACTCCCTTAGGTCGAACATCGTCGTGATCTCTCAAGACCCAGTTGTCTTTAATGGAACGATTCGCAGCAACATCGACCCCACCGGTTGCTACACCGACGACGAAATCTGGACCGCCATAGACAATGCAAATTTGAAACATCTGATACCGGCTTTGGATTGTCAAATCGTTGATAAAGGTTCGAATTTCAGTTGTGGCCAAAAACAACTAATTTGTTTAGTTAGAGCCTTGGTTAGCAAAAGTCGGATTGTGGTTTTGGACGAAGCCACTGCCAACGTAGATCCCGAAACCGACATCATCATTTCCAAGATCATAAAAGAGGGTTTTGTGGGCTGCACTGTGTTAATGGTCGCTCATAAATTGACAACAATCTTAGATTTCGACAAGGTTATGGTCATCGATAAAGGAGAAATCGTGGAATTTGATGCACCCGACGTTCTGGTACAAAACGAAAATGGCGTCTTTTGCAAGATGGTGGCGAAGGCCGGGTTGTCCCGATAGCGTGTATGTGTGTGTGTTTTTACGAGAATAAACCAACTATTCATTCATTTGTTGCTTTATTTCTTTTGGGTTATCTTAATTTCACGGTTATGTAAGTTTGAACTTCGGTGATATAAAGTGCTTTCATCAAAACAAATCTTTATCGCTTATTGTATGGACATTTTTATGTAAAGATAATGTGATGATGACCACTTTGGAACAAGGTACTTCCGGAACAGTAATAAATCAAGAGTCATAACCTATTTACTCTCCGGGTAGTTAGACTGCGTGTTGGTTTGTCGACGAAAGTTGATAAATTTTCGAATGTTGGAAAAATGTGCGGCTGTGACTGAGTGACGATTTGGGTATAGTTTATTAGGAAAGTATTTGGTTTAAGTAAATTGAGAAATTACGGAGCTTCCTTTGTGCAGTCGTAGGCGGCTGCTATTATGGCTTAATTTTGAAACTTGGAGTGCAGTTTTTAATGTGTGCGGCGGCAGTGGTGAGATAATCACAAGTGATGGATCGAGGGCGTTCCGTAGAGAAAGAAAAGCACCCACGGGAAACGACAAATATTATTTCAAAGTTTTCGTTCTTGTAAGTGTTGAAATTAATTTTTACGCAGAATTGTTGTAAATGAGAATATCAGTTTGATAATTAAAAAAAATATTGTTTGCGTGTGGTCGAGAGTATCAGAAGGAACTTTGATATGCGCTAGCTATTTTTGGAATTTTGTTAGGAGATTATACAAAACCTTAACACACGCAATTTAAAGAAAATTGAAACATTTAACACTACTTAAAAATTAAAAAATTCCTACATTATAACACACACCTTGACCAATTTCAAGTTGTAAATCAGCTTAATGAAAGAAAAAAAGATCTTAATTTATTTTGACAGAACTTCCGTCGCCCCTAACTACAGCTTAGAAAAATTTAACTTTTTTTTTATGATAAAATTAATAAAGTAGAGGTAAAGAAGCATCGTATGCATATCTTTCTAGTGAGCTTTCCAAGTTTTGAGTTTTGAATTTTTAATTTTATATAATACCGTACTCCTCTATTTGTGGTTTATGAATTCGTTTTGACTTTTTACCCAAGGCTTCCAGATTTTTGGATAAAAAATCTAAGTTGCATAACAATATTTTACAATTTAACTTTGAAATTACAAAATCGAGTGCTTTGAAATCTTCCAAACGTTTTAAGGTTATCGGAATCATGGTAAATCGTTAATCAAAATTTATCCGTTCTGGTCCCCCTCCCCAGGAATAGTTGATGTCATCTGATAATTTTGTCGAATAAATAATATTTAAATATTAAAAAGGAAGATAATCCTGAACTTGCGTTGAATTTTTATCTTAGACATGAAGATTTTCAAATCATAAAAAAATTTTTCAATTTACCAATTTTTCGAATTTCTAATTTTTCAACTTTCGATTTCTCAATTTTCCGATTTTCAGTTTTTCGATTACTCAATTTTTCGATATTTCAGTGTTGGGATTTTTCAATTTTTCGATTCATCAACTTCTCGATTCTTAAAATATTCTATTTCCCGGTTTTTTCATTTTCCGATATCTCAATTTTCCGATGTTTCGCGATTTTTGAAATAACTTTGCAATTTTTCGATTTCTCAATTTCTCGATTAATGGATTTTTTGGTTTATCAACTTTTCAATTCCTCGATTTCTGTATTTTTCTATTTTTCAGGTTTTCAATGATTCCATTTTTCGTTTTTTTTGAAATTTTTTATTTTTTGAATTTGTCGATTTTCTAAATTTTTGATTTTTTGGGTTTTCATCGATTTGACGTTTTTTCAGTTTTTCGATTTCTGAATTTTTCACTGTTTGAGTAATGGAAATTTTTCAATTTTTCGATTCTTCATTTTTTCTAAGGTTTTTCAATTTTATGATATTTCAGTTTTGGGATTTTTCAGCAGTGGATCATTCAATTTTTCAACTTTTCGATTTTTTGATTCCTAAATTTTTTATTTTTGCGATTTTTGAATTACTTATCGAGATTTCGATATTTCGATTTTTCGATTGTTCAATTTCTCGGCTTTTCGATTTCCCGATTTCTCGATGTTTTGATGTTTCGTTTCTCGATCGACTTCTCGATTTTTTATTTTTCAATGTTTAAATTTTATAATTTTGAGTTTTTCAATTTTGCGATTTTTTTAATGTTTCGATTTCTTGATTTTACAATTTTTGGGTTCATAAATTTCTCAATACTTACCTTAATTTTTCAACTTTTAATTTTTGTTTTTTCAGTTTATTGGTTTTTCAATTTTTCGATTTTTCAGATCTTCGAATTTACGACTTCTTGATGCGATTTCATGATATCTCGGCTTTTTAATTGTAAAAATCTTTAAACTTCGTGTTTCAGATTTCTCGATTTTTGGATTTTTTTTTTTTTTGTTTATATGTATTCTAATTGTTTTATTTTTTTGATGTTTCTATTATTTGACCTTTCGATTTTTGCTTTTCGGACACGATTTCTTGGTTTGTCAATTTTTCGATTTTTATTTTTCGATTTTTTTATTATGAATTTTTAAATTTTGGAATTTTTAACTTTTCCATTTCTTGATTTTGGAATATTTCGATTTCTAACTTTTCTATTTTTCAACTTCTCGACTGTTCCATTTTTCGATCTCTCGATCTTTTAATGATTCTCGATGTTTCAGTTCTTTAACGTTTACATTTTTTGACTTTTCGGCTTTTCGATTTTTCGATTTTCCAATTTTTTGTAATTCCAGTTTTGGAATTTTTCAACTTCTCGATTTTTCAGTTTTTTCGATTTTTCAATTTCTGGATTTTTTAAATTTTAGATTTTTCGATTTCTCGGTTTTTCATTTTTTTGACTTTCCGATTTTTCGATGTTTAATTTTGGAATTTTCAATTTTTAGGATTTCTCGGTTTTTCGATTTTTAATTTTGAATTTTTCAATTTTCAATTTTTTGATTTTCCACTGTTTCGATGTTTCAATATTTTTAATTTTAGATTTCCCGATTTCTGTTTCTCAATTTTCTCGATTCTTAGATTTTTCAATTTTTCAGTTCTACGATATTCCTATTTTTCAATTTTTTGAATTTTTAAATTTTTAATTTTTCAGTTAATTGATTTTCGGTTTGATTTATTGCCTTCTCTGCTTTCCGATTTTAAAAATCTTTTTATTTTTCGATTTTTAGATTTCCTGATTTTTCAGTTTTTCGATTTTTGATGTTTTGATTTCTCGATTCTACAATTTTTCGATTCGTCAATTTTTAGATTCTTTAATTTTTCGATATTTTATTTTTTGAATTTTCCGATTTTCAATTTTTTGATTTTTTAAATTGTAGATTTTTTAATTGCTCGATTTTTATTTTTGGATTTTAAAATTTTTTAATTGTTTAAATTTTAGATTTTTCGATTTCTGTTTCTCGATTTCTCGATTTTTCGATTTTTCAATTTTTCAGTTCCTCGGCATTCGTATTTTTCAATTTTTTGGATTTTTAATTTTTTAATTTTCATTTTATTGATTTTTCAATTTTTCGAAATTCCGATTTTTCGATTCGATTTCTTGACATCTCGGTTTTTTGATTTTAAAAATCTTTCTGCTTTCGATTTTTAGATTTCCCGATTTTTTATCGATTTTTCAACATTCAGTTTTGGGAAATTTTCAATCTCTGGATTTTTCAATTTTTCGTTATACAATTTTTTGATATTTCAGTTTTGGGATCTTTCAACATTGTATTATTAAATTTTTCGACTTTTCGTTTTCTAATTTTTTTATGTTTTCGATTTTTCAAATATTTCTGGACGTTTCGATATTTCGATTTTTAATTGTTCAACTTCTCGTGTTTCCGATTTCCCGATTTCTCGATATTTGAATTTTAGATTTTTTAGTTTTCCAATTTTTCGATTTTTTGATATTTCAATTTTTTGATGTTAAAATTCTTCGGTTTTTTAATTTTTCGGTATTTTAATTTTCCAATTTTTCCATTTTTCGTTTCTCGATTTTTCAATTTTCCAATCTTTCAGTCGTTTTTCGAATTTTTAATTTTTGATTTTTCAATTTGTTGGTTGTTCAATTTTCGATTTTTAAATTTTTCTTTTTCGATTTATATATTATATTTTTTAATATAAATTTTTCAATTTTTCAAATTTAACTTTTCGATTTTCTGATTTTGGACTGTTTCGATTTATAAATTTTCTATTTTTCGACTTCTCGAGTTTTAGATTTTTCGATTTTCGCATTTCTCAATTTTTCGATTTCCCAATTTTTCGTCATTTCAGTTTTTTCGATATTTTAATTTTTCGCTTTTTCAATTTTTTGATTGTTCGACCTTTTGGCTTTTCAATTTTTTAACTTTTAATTTTGGATTTTTCAGTTTTTAAGATTTTTCGATTTCTCAGTTTTTCGGTTTTTCTATTTTTCAGTACCAACTTCGATTTTTAATTTTGGATTTTTCGATTATTCAATTTTTTGATTTTCTAATGTTTCGAGTTTTCAATTATTCAATTTTTTTAATTTAAATTTTTGATTTATGCATCGCGATTTCTCGATTTTTCGATTTTTCAATTTTTCAATTCTTCGATATTCCTATTTTTAATTTTTTTGAATTTGTCAATTTTTGATGTTTCACTTTAATGATGTTTTAATTTTTCGATTTTCGAAATTTTCGATTCAATTTCTTGACATCTCAGTTTTTCATTTTTAAAAATCTTTCTACTGTTCGATTTTTAGATTTCCCAATTTTTCAAGTTTTCGATTTCTCAATTTTTCAACATTTCAGTTTTGGGAATTTTTAGATTTTTAACATTTTTTATTTTCGAATTTTCAATTTCTAGATCTTTTCAGTTTTTCAATGTTTCGATTTTTCGATTTCCCGGTTTTTCAATTTTTCGACTTCAGTTTTCAGACATTTCAGTTTTGGAATGTTTCAATTTCCCCATTTTTCAGTTTTTCGATGTTTCAATTATCTGATTTTACAATTTGTCGATATTTTAAATTTTCGGTTTTTCGTTTTCTCGGTTTTTCTTCGGTTTTCCAATTTTTAATTGCGGATTTTTCAATTTTTCAATTTTTTGATTTTCTGATGTTACGATTTCTCGGTTTTTTCATTTTTTAAATTTTAAATTTTTCGATTTCTCAATTTCTCGATTTTTCAGTTTTTCGTAGATATTTTTCGGCTTTTTGAATTGTCAAAGTTTTGATTTTTCAGCTTATTGATTTTTCTATTTTTCGATTTTCCGTTTTTTCGATTTGATTTCTTGACACCTCGGTTTTTCGATTTTAAATATCTTTCTACTTCTCGATTTCTCAATTTTTCAAAATTTCAGTTTGGGGAATTTTTCAATTTCAGGATTTTTCAATTTTTCGATTTTTTTATTTTCCATTTTCCAGTTTTTAAATTTTTGGTTTTTTCAGTTTTTTGGTTTTTGCATTTTTCGGTTTTTAAAATTTTGTGTTTTTTCAATTTTTCAATTCTTCGATATTCCTATTTTTAATTTTTTTGAATTTTTCAATTTTTGATGTTTCACTTTAATGATGTTTTAATTTTTCGCTTTTCGAAATTTTCGATTCAATTTCTTGACATCTCAGTTTTATATTTTTAAAAATCTTTCAACTGTTCGATTTTTAGATCTCCCAATTTTTCAAGTTTTCGATTTCTCAATTTTTCAGCGTTTCAGTTTTGGGAATTTTTAGATTTTTAACATTTTTTATTTTCGAATTTTCAATTTCTAGATCTTTTCAGTTTTTCAATGTTTCGATTTTTCGATTTCTCGGTTTTTCAATTTTTCGACTTCAGTTTTCAAACATTTCAGTTTTGGAATGTTTCAATTTCCTCATTTTTCAGTTTTTCGATGTTTCAATTATCTGATTTTACAATTTGTCGATATTTTAAATTTTCGATTTTTCAAGTTTTCATTTTTTTGTTTTTCTGATGTTGATTTCGGTATTTTTTCATTTTTTAAATTTTAGATTTTTCGATTTCTCAATTTCTCGATTTTTCATTTTCGTAGATATTTTTCAGTTTATTGATTTTTCAATTTTTCGATTTTTCGTTTTTTCGATTCGATTTCTTGACATCTCGGTTTTTCGATTTTTAAATATCTTTCTACTTCTCGATTTCTCAATTTTTCAAAATTTCAGTTTTGGGAATTTTTCAATTTCAGGATTTTTCAATTTTTCGATTTTTTTATTTTACATTTTTCAATTTTTAAATGTTTTGTTTTTTCAGTTTTTGGTTTTTCAATTTTGCGATTTTTAAAATTTTGTGTTTTTTCAATTTCTCAATTTATCGATATTTCGATATTTTAATTTTTTGATTTTTCAGTTTACCAATTTTTCGATTTTTAACATTTTTTATTTTCGAATTTTCAATTTCTCGATCTTCTCATGTTTCGTTTCCCAATGTTTCAGTTTTTCAATTTTTCGACTTCAGTTTTCAGACATTTTAGTTTTGGAATTTTCCATTTTCCCCATTTTTCAGTTTTTCAATGTTTCAGTTTTCAATTTTACAATTTTTCGAAATTTCTCGGATTTTCGGTTTTTCAATTTTTAATTGTGGATTTTTCAATTTTTCAATTTTTTGATTTTCTGATGTTACGATTTCTCGATTTTTTCATTTTTTAAATTTTAGATTTTTCGATTTCTCAATTTCTCGATTTTTCAGTTTTTCGTAGACATTTTTCGACTTTTTGAATTGTCAAATTTTTGATTTTTCAGTTTATTGATTTTTCAATTTTTCGATTTTCCGTTTTTTCGATTCGATTTCTTGACATTTCGGTTTTTCGATTTTAAATATCTTTCTGCTTCTCGATTTCTCAATTTTTCAAAATTTCAGTTTTGGGAATTTTTCAATTTCAGGATTTTCCAATTTTCCGATATTTTAAATTTTCGATTTTTTGGATTTTCCACTTTCCAGTTTTTGCATTTTTGGTTTCTGGATTTTTCGATTTTTAAAATTTTGTGTTTTTTTTACAAAAATTCAACACTGGTTCATAAACTACAAGTGGAAAAGTATGTAATTTTATAAAATTTAAATAACATTTCCCGTTATAAAACTTAGAGATGACGTCATTTGACAACAATCAGTCCGGTAGTTTAAACAATTATCTGTCTAATAAAAATCGACACAGACGATTACAATACATCCTTAGCTTACGCTCGGGAAATAAAAACACTGAAAAGTACATAATTCATTCCAGTTACATTATCGCACTTTTCAAAAAAGGCTACACCAAAGGCTTGGAATACGATGACGTCTACGACGTCCTAAACACCTGCCGATCTAACGAATTAGGCAACCGACTGGAACAAGAATGGCAAAAGGAAAAAACCAAACACAAAAAACCCCTACTTTTCCGCCCCCTTCTATTCTGCTTTGGCAAAACTTTCATAACCCTTGGAGTCATACAACTAGTGGTCAAACTAATCATAACGTAAGTATTCACACTTGACAATTAAACCCTGATTTCAGTTTTTAGAGTTTGGTCACCCCATGCCCGGTCAAAACTCATCTCGTATTTCAGCCCAGACCAAACCGACCTAACCAAAAGCGATGCCATTAATTTCGCCTGTATAGTAATAGGACTCAACGTTTTCAGCATACTCTTCTTCCACAATTTCCGCCTGTATGTTTTAGCACTAGGACTTGGAGTAAAGGCGGCTGTGTCATCTTTATTGTATCGAAAATCGCTGAAATTAAATTGTGAAACTCTGTCTCAAGTGACGGTGGGGAAAATCACCACTGTCATTAACAGAGATGTGGAAATTTTTCAACAGTTTGTTAGTCAAGGCAACGATATGTGGATCGCGTTAGTCCAGACTTTCATGATCTGCTATCTAGTATACAACAAAATCGGGATAGCGTCGTGGGCCGGAATCACCTTTTTCTTCGTAGTTTTGCCCCTGCAAAGTTAGTACTTTACTGATTTTTCATTGACAATACTGTTCGTCGATTTCAGTGTACATCGGAAAGCTAGCTTACAACTATCGTTTGAAATGTAGCATCAAAACCGACGAGCGGCTTGAAATCACCCAAGAAGTCCTATCAGCCATCAAGATCATCAAAATGTACACTTGGGAGAAATACTTTGAAAGAAAAATCTGCGACGCTCGAAAGTACGTACTATCCAGTATTTATCAATTGTCAGAACGTTTCATTCCAGAGCCGAGTTGCAAAAACTCCACAAACTCTTCTACAGCCGCGTCCTCATCAACGTAATCGGGCGCATCTGCTCCAGAAGCGCCTTCTTCATCTTCCTCATGACCTACGTCTGGATGGACAACACCGTGACTGCAGAAACCGTCTACTACATCTTAAGCTGCTTCGAGGACCTTCAAACCTCGCTCAGTAACAGCATACCCTCTGGATTTTCCAAAGCAGCGGAAGTCTACGCTGTGATCAAAAGATGCGAGAAGGTCCTCAACTGTGAAGAAATGCCTCTGAAGTGTGAAACCAGCGAAATAGTGTGTCCCCAAATCGTGTTGTCCAACGTATCCGTCAAAGTTTGTGGAAGAACAGTCCTTGATAAAATTTCCATTGATATCAATCAAGGTCTTAATATTGTTGTAGGACCAGTAGGGGCCGGAAAATCTACTCTTCTCAAGGCAATTATGCAAGACTGCGAAATGTCGGGGAACGTTCGAGTACTCGGGAGCATCTCGTACGCGTCCGAAGAACCCTGGCTTTTCCCATCGAGTATCAAAAACAATATTCTTTTCGGGGAAGAGTACTGTGAGAAGCGGTACGAAGAAATCTTGAAGATTTGTAGTTTGGATTACGATCTGGAGTTAATCGATGGAGGGGATAGCACGGTTGTGGGTGACCGTGGTGTCAACTTGAGCAAAGGTCAACAAACGAGAGTCAATTTAGCTAGGGCTTTGTACAAAAATAGCGATATCTATCTGTTAGACGATTCTTTAGCGTCCTTAGACGCTCACGTCAGTGACCACATTTTCAAAGAGTGTATCCAGAAGTTCTTAAAAAACAAAATCTGTGTTTTTGTTACCAATAACCTGGATTATATTCAAGAAGCCGACAATATTATCATGGTAGATGACGATTCGTTCAGTTGTAGCCACAATTTTGATAAGAAGAAATTGATTGATAGTGGGGAGTATCTGATTGATAATATCAAAACTGAAGAATTAGTGGCTAGGGCTCCGGTTTATCACGAAATTAAAAACCCGGGGAAAGTTAGTCTTGCTGATTATTACAACTACGTGTCTTACGGTGGCGGGGTTATCACTTTTTGTTTGATAATGGCTTTGTTCACCGCCTATCAAGGGGCATCAAGTTACAGCGAAAAGCTACTAAGCAACTGGTGAGTGTCCTTGCACTAAGTACTAAGTTTGAAACGTTGTTTTAGGGTAACCCTTGAACAAAATGTATCAACTTTGAAGACAATCAACCTGACGAACACTCCCGAGTATGAGCAAATCTACGAAGAAAGAACTAACAGTCTTACGTTATATAGCGCCATGTTTGCTATCGCCATCGTGTTATATTTAGTCAGCATTTTCACTTATTTCTTTTTCATAAAAACAGCCTCCAAGAATCTCCATAAAGCCATGTTGAAGACCATAATGAACGCCACGATGAAGTTTTTTGATAACAACTTCATAGGTAACGTGTTGACTCGATTTTCCAAGGACTGCGTGACCGTGGATGAATACTTACCCTTTGTCTTAATCGAGTGTCTTTTGGTAAAGTCTAATCAAGAAGAATGTTGTACAAGTATATTTTTTAGATGATTTTTGTAGTGTCCGGAGGGGTTATTTTACTAACTTCGGTTAATATAATCTTTCTAGTGGGTTTCTTCATTCTGCTGGGTGTGGCCTATTTGATAAAACACTACTGCCAACCCACCGGGCGCAACCTTCAAAGACTTCACGTGATGGGTCAGGTTTGCAAAGTGTGTCTGTACCATATTATCAATGTTTTGCAGCCAGATGTCCCATGGTGGGTCATGTCAATTCGTCCCTCACCGGTTTATCAACAATCAGAGCCAGCAATGCCCAGGACATGATTATCAAAGAATTTGATAGATATCAAGACCAATTCACTTCGGCTCACTACATGTTGGACAATAGCTTGATCGCTTTGTCTTTCAGTCTCGAACTATTTTCAGCTCTTTTCATCACTTCTATCATCGTCCAGTTTTTGGCCACGGATTTCGGTCCTAGTGTCGGCGATGTTGGTCTAGCCATAAACCAAGCTTTCGCTATCAGTGAAATCATATCAAACGGCATCCGCGTGATCGCAGACACCGAGAACTTGATGACTTCCGTTGAAAGAATTCTAGAGTACGTGCGACTAGAGCAGGAAGACAAACACGGCAGCTTCATAGACCACTGGCCAACCACCGGTGCCATAGATTTCGCCAACATCTCGCTCAACTACGGTGGAAAAAAAGACATGTTGAAAGACATCAGTTTTAAAATCAACCCCAAAGAAAACCTAGGAATCGTGGGTCGAACTGGAGCCGGCAAATCGTCTATAATTTCAAGCTTGTTGCGTCTGTATCAAATCAACGGAACGGTGACGATCGACGGAATTGATACCAAAATCGTGTCTTTGAAGTGTCTGCGCAGCAGTATTTCTGTGATCCCGCAGGACCCGTTCTTGTTTTCTGGAACGATCAGGGATAATTTGGACCCGTTGAACAAGTACACGGATGATCAGATATGGCAAGTTTTGTCGGAGTTGAGGTTGAAGCAAGTGATAGGTGATCTCGGTTTGGTTGTTGATAAAGGGTCGACTTTGAGTTCTGGTCAGAAGCAACTGCTTTGTCTCGCGCGTGTTATTCTTCGCAAGAACAAGATCATTATTTTGGATGAAGCTACAGCAAATGTGGATCAGGAGACGGATAGAATGATACATGACGCCGTATGGAAAAATTTTGCCGAATCTACGGTGATAACGATAGCTCATAGATTGTTGTCTGTTTTGGATTGTGATAGAGTCATTGTGATGAAGAATGGGCAAGTTAGTGAGTGTGACCAGCCGCAAATTATGTTACAAAATAAAAGTAGTTTCTTCCATTCTATTGTTAAATAAAGACGTCATACTATGAGTGTTTTTTTTTTGCGAATCACAAACCTTAATTAGCTTAAGACTTCAATAACACTGACGTAACAGTCTAACAAATACATTAATCTTAATCATTTCTAGTACACACTTTGATACTGTTCTTATCTCAGACGCCACGTTGTTGGCAAAATATACATATCAAAGACTTTAGAAAACAACAAATCTCTATTTCCTGTATAATAACGTATACTTATTTGCGCATCGTTACCAGTTCCGCCCCTTCCACTTCTCATATATGTAAATACTAAATTAAAAATTCGCTTCACTGAATGAACGCGTTTCCGTCGAATAAGCACTGAATGTTTTCTTGGCTACCTCAGAGCTCAATCAACCAATTAAATAATAAATCAGGAACCCCGACACAATGGAAGGAGGTCACTCTTCCATAAATCAGTCTCATCCAAAAGAGGCCGCCAACATTCTATCAAGTCTGTCATTTTTGTAAGTATGATAAATTAGCTTTGTTATTATGAACAACATATTCGTTCCAGTTACGACCTTCCAATTTTCTTCAAAGGTTACCGGAACAGCCTCGAAACCACCGATTTGTACAAAGTTTTGACCGACTGTCGCTCCACACAATTAGGAGACGAATTAGAACAACAGTGGCAACTCGAAATTGACAAAAAACAAAAACCGTCGATATGTCGAGCTTTGTGGATTTGTTTTGGCAAAACTTTCCTCGTCCTTGGTTTGATACAGTTGGTTTTCAAAACAGCAACGACGTGAGTTTTATTATTTTTGTTTTGTATTAAAAGATGAGTGAAATTTTTAGAGTGTGGTTACCAGAAGCTACATCAAAACTCGTGTCGTACTTCAGTCCAGATCAGGAAGACTTGACCAGACGCGACGCATTTTATTACGCTTCAGTTGTAATCGGACTTACCACTTTGAATTTGTTTTTTTACTACAACTGCATGCTTGCACTTACTGAGCTTGGAATCCGAGTTAGGACTTCAGTGTGCTCACTTTTGTACCGAAAGTCCTTGAAGCTCACTCTGGATTCTCTCTCTGAAGTGACAGTTGGGAAAATTATCACCATTATGACCAAAGACGTAGATGTTTTCTTCAATTTTATTTACTACGGGAACGACGTGTGGATTCCGCTGGTACAAACTGCAGTCGTCTGCTACTTAATCTACTCGAAAATTGGAGTAGCTGCTTTTGCCGGGATTGGATTTTTCCTCATAGTTTTACCCCTACAAAGTACTCATAGACGTAGCACTAGTATCTTCTAATAATTTTTGTTGTTGTAGTATTTATTGGAAAAATGTCGTACCCGCTTCGTCTCAGAAGCAGCAAAAAAACAGACGAAAGACTCGAACTCATCCAAGAAGTCCTTTCCTCAATCAAAATTATCAAAATGTACACTTGGGAAACGTTTTTCGAACGCAAAATCAACACCGCTAGAAAGTATAACCTTGTGATAGTTCTAAATTCTACTCCGTTTTTTACAGAGAAGAGCTGCACCAACTCGTCAGACTGTTCTTCACGAAAGTCTGGATCGTCATCATCGGAAGCATCGGTTCAAAGTTAGCTTTTTTTGTCTTTTTTCTAACGTACGTTTACCTGGGCGACTCCGAATCACGAATAACAGCAGAAATCGTCTACTATCTCATGAGCTGTTGTACTGACCTAGAATACTCACTTAGTACTTTAATACCAATAGGATTGTCATACGCATCCGAAGCCTACGCCACCACTAAAAGAATCCAGAACGTTCTAACAGCCAAAGAACTGCTCCCAAAACAAACGATAACCGAAACCCAAAATCCGAAAATAGTGTTCAGTGGAGTTGATATCAAAATTCAGAAGAAGGTGATTTTGACGGATGTATCTTTCGTTCTAAAGAAGGGTCTGCACGTGATTTCGGGTCACACAGGTAGCGGAAAAACGACTCTCCTGAAATTCATCCTACAGGAGTATCAAATGGACGCAGAAGTCAAAATATCTGGAAACATATCGTACGCGTCCCAAGAACCCTGGCTTTTTCCTTCAACCATCAGAAACAACATTCTCTTTGGCGAAAAATACTCCGAAGAGCGCTACCAAGAAGTTCTAAGAATTTGTAACCTAGACTACGACCTAAATTTGCTGCCTGAAGGTGATAACATGATTGTTGGTGATCATGGTATCAATTTAAGTAAGGGTCAGCAGACGAGGATAAACCTTGCAAGAGCTATGTACAAAGACAGTGATATATACCTACTAGACGATTGTTTAGCCTCTCTAGATGTGTATGTAAGTGGCTACATTTTCGACGAATGCATTCGAAAGTTTTTGAAAGACAAACTTTGTGTTTTTGTTACCAATAATAACAATTTCGTTTCGAAAGCAGACACCGTGATTGTGGTAAATGAGGGGTCAGTCAAAATTAGCAAAAACGTGGAGGAAGAAACCGTTCAATCTAGCGTGGTGACAGAGACTCGACCGGAACAAGAACGGGTACCAGAAGTTGATAAGCAAATATATCACGAAAATAAAAAATCAGGAAAAGTTAGTTTGACGGATTATCGTAAATATGTTTCAAGTGGTGGTGGATATTTCGCCTTTGGTTTGGTAATGGCTTTGTTTGTGGTGGCTCAAGGTGCATCTAGCTATGGCGACAAGCTTTTAAGCAACTGGTGAGTTTTTCGGAAATTAGACTTTTCAACAAGAATTGTTTCAGGGTGACTTTGGAACAAAATCTTTCGCGTTATCAGGACAATAATGATACAAAGTCTGGTACTTATCAAGCGATAACCAGCGAAAACACTGGTAATTTGTATTTGATCATTTTCGTGGCTGCATCCTCTATTCTTCTCACGTTGATCAAATATTTGTCGTTTTTTACTTTTACGAAGACTGCGTCCGTTAATTTACACAAGATCATGGTGCAGGCCGTGCTTAACAGTACCATGAGTTTCTTCGATTCCAATTTCTTAGGGAACATTTTAAATCGGTTTTCCAAGGATTGTTTAACGGTTGACGAAAATCTCCCTTATATTTTGATTGAGTGTTTGAGTGTATGTAAAATTTCGTACATTAACCAAATTATGACAGTTTTTTTTCAGTTGTTATTTATGGCTGCTGGAGGTATCATTTTGATGACAACGGTCAATATTGTCTTTTTGATCGAGTCTGCATGTCTTCTGATTTTTGCCTACACGTTGAAGAAGTTTTGCCAACCGACTGGGCGTAATTTACAACGACTCAACGTAGCTAGTAAGTTAAAAATTCCTAGAGACATTTTAATAATAGTGCAATTTAGCTAGAAGCCCTATGATAGGGCACTTGAACTCGACCCTGGAAGGTCTCACCACTATTAGGGCCAGCAACGTCCAAGAACGACTTATTCAAGAGTTTGACAATCACCAGAACTTGTTTACTTCGGCTAACTACATGCTGAATAATTGTCAGATTGCGCTAGGATTTGGACTTGAATTTTTTTGTACGGTTTTCATAACTCTAGTGATAATACAGTTTTTAATTACAACCAGTGGTATGTACACACGCAGTTTTGATACGATAACGTATAAAATCAAACATTTTAGATCCAAGCGTGGGTGATGTAGGACTCGCCTTAACACAGTGTTTCGTGATAACAGACATCATCAGTTCCGGCATCAAAAATATATCAGACTGTGAAAATTTAATGACTTCAGTGGAAAGAATTGTAGAGTACTCTGAATTAAAAGAAGAGGATAAGAAAGGCCCGACTGTGAAAAATTGGCCAACGGACGGGAAAATCCAATTTGGTGACGTCTCCTTGACTTACGACAACAAAACCACGTTGCACAACATAAATTTCACTATCGAACCTAACGAGAAACTGGGAATTGTTGGTAGAACCGGGGCAGGAAAATCATCCATTATATCAACTTTGCTACGAATGTATCAAATTGAAGGAAAAATTTCCATCGACGATATTAACATCCAAGAAGTGTCGCTACAGTTGCTAAGATCCCACATCTCCATTGTTCCTCAAGATCCCTTTTTATTTTCAGGCACAGTTCGTGATAATTTAGATCCTCTAAAACAATACGAAGACGAGAATATATGGAAAGTTCTGGAGCAACTACACCTCAGAGATTTAATTGGTGATCTGAACATCAAAATTGATAAAAGTTCGAGTTTCAGTGCAGGTCAGAAGCAGTTGTTTTGTCTGGCACGGGCCGCTCTTCGTAAAAGCAAGATTGTGATCTTGGATGAAATTTCTGCTAATGTTGATAAGGAGGCGGAGGATTTGATACAACAAGCAGTCAAGGACTACTTTGGTGCCAATACTGTGATCACTATTGCTCATAAACTGGAGTCAATTTTGACATGTGATAAAGTTCTAGTCTTAGATAAAGGGTGTATTAAAGAATTTGGGTCACCGGTTCAGTTGTTAGAAAATAAAAATAGTTTTCTCTGTAGTGTTACCTAATGTCATAATAAACTAATTTTTTGTATTTGTTTTGTTGAAAATGGTAATAAATTATCAACTATAGACACCTAAATGTTATTTCTGGATCAAGCGAATTGGGAACGTTTTTATAAAATTTTTAGGTTTTTTTAGCAATTTCTGGCAGTGCTTTTTAATGTCGATGTTTAAGTATTATACCGAGTGTCTGGAAAATGGCGGATTAACACTCCGCTACGCGGTTAAAAATCAACTGGTGGGTTTGGGAAAAAGAGTTAAAAAATTCCTCCTCACATTTTGGTGGAGTTATAATGATTGGTTCTTTTGCTATGTTTACCAACTAACCAATACATTCATTGTCACAATAACTAGTAATAAAACTTTAAGTTAATATTCCTCTGTCCCATGACCATGTTTAATTACCATTTCATTTAGAATGTACAAAGATAATAATGGTTGGTTGTTTTCGTAATAATTTGATTAAAATTCCATTTGACAACAATGTTTAGCTGATATAAAGCGAAGGTACAAATCAGCAAAAATTGTCATTGAGCTTTTATTAGTGTTTTATTTTTACGAATTTGAAAAAGCCTTTTTTAATTGGAGAGACTCTTGGGTACCCATGATGTATTTTGATAGCCCATGGAGATTTTCTTTTTAGTTATTTAAAACAATTTTGGGATACTTTGGTGTTTTATTTAGGGAAAATTCTGACCTGACCTGTTTTTGAGTTAATTTTGGGATCCTGTTTTTTTTTTAATTCAAAAAAATCTTGAAGTTTTGTTTGGAAAGAATTTGAAACTGCTCTGGAGTCTCTAGTGTTTTTCTTATAATAATTTAATAAAATTTCTTAGAGGATACGTTATTTGCTAAAATCACTTTTATCTTAGCAGGTACTACCCCGCCCACCCGCCCTCTATTTTCTTAGAAGGTATGTCATTTCCCAAAATTGGTCTTATTTTATCAGGTACTAGCCCCGCCCACCCGCCCTCTGTTTTCTTAGAGGGTTTCTTATTTGGCAGAATCGATCTTATCTTAACAAAGATAAAGTGGGTGGGTGGGCTAGTATCTACTAAGATAAAATTAATTTTGACAAACGAAATACCCTGTAAGAAAAGAGAGGGTAGGTGGGCGGGGCTAGTAAGTTCTTAAATCAGACCGATTTTGGCAAATGACATAATCTCTGAGAAAAGAGAGGGTGGGTGGGCGGGCCTAGTTCCTGCTAAGATAAGACTGATTTTGGCAAATGACATACCCTCTAAGAAAATAAAGGGCGGGTGGGCGGGGTTAGTACCTGCTAATATAAGACGGATTTAGGCAAGGTATTGACCCCGCCCACCCACCCTCTCTTTTCTTAGAAATTATGTCATCTGCAAAAATCGATATTATTTTAGGATTTACTAACCCCACCCACCCACCCTCTCTTTTGTTACAGGGTATCTCCTTTGCCAAAATCAGTCTTATCGTGGCAGCTACTAACCCCGCCCACCCGGCCTCTATTTTCTTAGCAGGTGTCATTTGCCAAAATCAGTCTTACCTTGGTAGGTACTAGCCCCGCCCACCCACCCTCTCTTTTTTTAGAGAGTATGCCATTTGCTAAAATCGTTCTTATTTTATCAGGTACTAGTCCCGCCCACTCGCCCTGTATTTTCTTAGAGGTTATGTCATTTTCTAAAGTCAGTCTTATCTTAGAAAAGAGAGGGTGGATGGGTGGGGCTAGTAACTGCTAAAATAAGACTGATTTTGGCAAATGACACACCCTCTAAGAAAAGAGAGGGCGGGTGGGCGGGGTTAGTGCCTGCTAAAATAAGACGAATTTTGGCAAGGTACTGACCCCGCCCACTCACCCTCTCTCTTCTTAGAAATTATGTCGTCTTCAAAAATCGATATTATTTTAGGACTTACTAACCCCGCCCACCCACCCTCTCTTCTGTTACAGGGTATCTCCTTTGCCAAAATCAGTCTTATCGTGGCAGCTACTAACCCCGCCCACCCGGCCTCTATTTTCTTAGCAGGTGTCATTTGCCAAAATCGGTCTTATTTTATCAGGTACTAGTCCCGCTCAATCGTCCTGTATTTTCTTAGAGGCTGTCATTTTCCAAAGCCAGTCTTATCTTAGAAAACAGACAGTGGGTGGGCGGGGCTAGTACCTGCTAAAATAAGACTGATTTCGGCAAATGGTACACCCTCTAAGAAAAGAAGGGGTGGGTGGGTGGGACTAGTATTTACTAAGAGAAAATTGATTTTGGCAAATGACATACCCTGTAAGAAGAGAGAGGGTGGGGCTAGTATCTACTAAGATAAAACTGATTTTGGCAGACGACATACCCTGTAAGAAAAGAGAGGGTGGGTGGGCGGGGCTAGTATCTACTAAGATAGAATTGATTTTGGCAAATGACATTCCCTGTAAGAAAAGAGAGGGTGGGTGGGCGGTGTTAGTACTTGATAAAATAAGACGGATTTTGGCAAGGTACTGACCCCGCCCACATATTCCCTCTTTGCTTAGAGATTGTCATTTGCAAAAATCGATCTTATTTTAGGATCTACTAATTCCGCCGACCCGCTCTCTATTTTCTTAGCGGGTGTCATTTGAAAAAATCAGTCTTCTCTTAGTAGATACTAGCCCCGCCGACCCACCCTCTCTTTTCTTAGAGCATATGTCATTTGCCAAAATCGGTCTTATTTTATCAGGTACTAGGCTCGCTCATCCGCCCTCTATTTTCCTAGATGGTATGTCATTTTCCAAAGTCACTCTTATCCAAGAAAATAGAGGGTAGGTGGGTGGGGCTAGTACCTGCTAAGATAAGACTGATTTTCGCAAATGACACACCCTCTAAGAAAAGAGAGGGTGCGTGGGTGGGGCTAGTATCTACTAAGATAGAATTGATTTTGGCAAATGACATACCCTGTAAGAAAAGAGAGGGTGGGTGGGCGGGGTTAGTACCTTCCAAAATAAGACGGACCTTGGAAAGGTACTGACCCCGCCCACCCACCCTCTCTTTTCTTAGAGATTATGTGATTTGCAAAAATTGATATTATTTTAGGAACTACTAACCCCGCCCACCCACTTTCTCTTTTGTTACAGGGTATCTTCTATGCCAAAATCAGTCTTTTCGTAGCAACTACTAACCCCGCCCACCCGCCCTCTGTTTTCTTAGCGAATATGTCATTTGCCAAGGTTAATCTTATCTTAGGAAAGAGAGGGCGAGTGGGTGGGACTAGTACCTGCTAAGATAAGACTGATTTTCGCAAATGACACACCCTCTAAGAAAAGAGAGGGTGCGTGGGTGGGGCTAGTATCTACTAAGATAGAATTGATTTTGGCAAATGACATACCCTGTAAGAAAAGAGAGGGTGGGTGGGCGGGGTTAGTACCTTCCAAAATAAAACGGACTTTGGAAAGGTACTTACCCCGCCCACCCACCCTCTCTTTTCTTAGAGAATATGTGATTTGCAAAAATCGATATTATTTTAGGAACTACTAACCCTGCCCACCCACCCTCTCTTTTGTTACAGGATATCTTCTATGCCAAAATCAGTCTTATCGTAGCACCCGCCCTCTGTTTTCTTAGCGAATATGTCATTTGCCAAGGTTAGTCTTATCTTAGGAAAGAGAGGGTGAGTGGGTGGGGCTAGTACCTGCTAAGATAAGACTGATTTTCGCAAATGACACACCCTCTAAGAAAATAGAAGGTGGGTGGGTGTTTGGGGCTAGTAACGTATTCAATAAGACCGATTTTGGCAAATGACAGAATATCAAACAAAAGAGAGGCCGAGTAGACAGTACCTGCTAAGATAAGACTGATTTTGGCAAATGATACCCGTTATAAATATAGAGGGCGGGTGGGCGGGGTTAGTACCTCCTAAAATAAGACGGATTTTGGCAAGGTACTGAAACCGCCCACCCACCCTGTCTTTTTTTAAAGGGTATGTGATTGCCACAAACAGTTCTATCTTAGTACTGATGACTAACTTTTACAAAAAATGATCTAAATTTGGAAACATTACGATCTTACTTATACAGGGTGCCGCATCCAAGTCTGGATATAGGGAATTAACATGTGAATTGGTTTTTATTTTATAATATCTCCCGAGATCACTTTAAAGCTATTATTGAGTGATGCCTTTGTAGAGGTCGAAGAGAGCTATCGGCCAGTATTTTTTTCAAATCGTTGCATCGCGCTCATTCACTGTAAAAAGGTTTTAAAAATCGTATTTTGAAATTCGCGCCCGATCCGATTTGTCACGAAATGTTCCGTCGCACCGTCGAAGTTCGGCGATCGCGTCTTTGGAATATCCATGCAAAATTCAAATGTCAAAGTGAAATTAGAAATTATTCTCAGAAATCAACGAACAACTCAAACTGAATTATTTTATCCAGTGTGATGATTATTGTGGGTCAGTTTAAACGGAATAAATGCACAAACTGTACAAAATATTTTATTAGGTTATGCTATGTTCTACTGCGATTAGATGAAAAAGCGAGGGCCTGCTTGTTCTTCAACGGTTAATTTAATTAGTAGCTAATTTGGGAAAATTTCACACTTTTTTTTCGAATCACTAAAAATTGGAAGTCAATTGGGTTTACATTCGTTAAGCAGGGCTGGAATTTTTGCCACCTGGAAGCATGTTCGTTACAAGAAATTTTTGAGAGAGAAATGTAGAACATTGACTCATCAACATTTTAAAGTATTTTTCTCTATTACGAATGTGTTTTGGGATTCAGAAACTTTTGTATTACTGTTTTATTTGTTTATTGTGTCAACAACAACAAAAATAAAAATAATATTTCACAAAACAAAGTTACATTTATTTTCAAAGGTGATAAAAAGTAAATAAAATCAGGTGGGCACAACGTTTTCTAGGGATCTTAAAGAGATGGGATAGAAGAATTTCAAAAAGCATCATGACAAAAAATTGAATCCTGAGGACTACTTCTCACGTAGGGAGTTTTACGAAGGAATGCTTAAGAGAATCCAGGCTGATGGAGAGTTTTTGAGGAACATTTGGTTTACTGACGAATGTTCATTTGGTCTTAACGGAAGTTATAATCGTCAGAACGATCAAATTTGAGCATAACACAACCCTCACGTGGTCCATGACTATCGTTATTAATGGCGTGCAACTGTCAGTGTCTGACTGGGGCTTGTAGGACATCATGTCATTGCACCTTTTTTAATCGAATCTAGATTGAATGCTCAGAAGTAGGACAATATGCTAGCTCAGCAAATACTTCCTGGGACTCAAAGGGTGCGGCATCTGCAGCAGGTCTTTTACATCCAGGACCAAATCTCCAGCCATATAGCTCACATAAATGTTGTTTATTTGAACCAGTATTTTCCCGCAATGTTGGAATGGAAAGTTTGGTCTGTGCATTCGCGGGATCTAAATCCCTGGGAATCTTTTCTTTTGAGATTTCTTCACGACCATCTGTATTCAAACAATACCAGCTATACAAACAGAGACGCGCTGAAACAAGCAGTCCAACAAATATTGTCTTCAGATTGCAACGCAAATGCTGATCAACACGCGTAGAAGTTTTGAAGATCGGCTTACTTACTGTACAGCTGCTGAGAGCAGTCTTTTTGAGCAATTCTTGAAAATAGTGCAATACTTCTCCAGATTCGTACAATATTTCATTACTTCATTCATCAACAATTGTTAAGTTTTGTTATTTGTAGTTATCTAAATGGTTCATTAAAAGGTTCTCTTCAAAAGCGCCAGCTGTTTTGATGGTAAATCTTATCATCACACAATAAGAAAAGCGGGCCCTCGCTTTTTCATCTAATCGCAGTAGAACATGGCATTTTAATGAGATTTTAGTAATAAAGACTCGACCAGCACCAGCAACATAACCTAATAAAATATTCTGTGCAGCTTGTGCATGTATTCCGTTTAAATTGACCTACAATAATCGACATATTGGATAAAATAATTCAATTTGAGTCGTTCAGTGATTACTGAGTGAGGCAGCGCGAGTACATCCCTAGCTTAAGGGCTCCCAGGACATGTTACAATCCTGCCGATGGGGTTTTGAGGAAGACTAGCTGCTCGAAGTCTTCATCTCGGGCTTTATGGATACGGTCTGAGTGTAGTTCGAGATGGCTCGTTTGACGGGGTCGCGCACTATGACGAATGAATGGATCAATTTGTGCATTTATTCCGCTTAATTTGTCCTACAATAATCATCACACTGGATAAAATAATTCAGTTTGAGTTGTTCGTTGATTTCTGAGAATAATTTCTAATTAGAATGTCAAAGTGAAATTTCACTTTGACATTTGAATTTTGCATGGATATTCCAAAGACGTGATCGCCGAACTTCGACGGTGCGACGGAACATTTCGTGACAAATCGGATCGGGCGCGAATTTCAAAATACGATTTTTAAAACCTTTTTACAGTGAATGAGCGCGATACAACGATTTGAAAAAAATACTGGCCGATAGCCCTCTTCGACCTCCACAAATGCATCACTCAATAATAGCTTTAAAGTGATCTGGGGAGATATCATTAAATAAAAACCAATTCCCATGTTAATTCCCTATATCCAGACTTGGATGCGGCACCCTGTATACACAAGGCAGGAATTTTGAACATCTTCTCTAGTGTTTAGTTGGTTATGCTTGTATTAAATGTTTTTTTTTTGGTTTATTTATTAATAAAGAATAACAGCTTGTTTTGTTAATAATAATGCACAACGCTTAATGACTACTGGTTGTTATGGTTATTGTTCTAAAAAAAATAGAAGGTGGATTTCAGTCACCATCGTTACTAAAAAATCAGAATTTTTAATTTTTTTGGTAATCTACATCATAGAGAATTTTTTTATTATTTATTTGGGAGTACTGAAGAGACACCCGGTATACCAAAATATCCGTCAAAATAATGGCTAAATATTTAAATCAACAACGGAAATACGTATAAGAATACAAACATATCATGTTTGGCTGTCAACGTAAATAGTAGTACCTAAATGGGCGACATTAAGTACTTTGTTGTACGAAGAACAAATATTCACAGAACATTCACCCTTTAAAATACATTTTTAATAATGGAAATTTATGTTATTAAATCATCATGAATAAAACATATACATAACTGTTTTCGCGGAACTAGTAATATTATTATTTATGTTCATGAATTTTTTTTATATACATTCCAAACTAACACGCGATTCATTATAAAAAAAATCTAGGCCCGGTTTATAGAAAGCGATTTAAATATTCAATCGGCCGGCAATTAATTTAAGAGAGGATTAAAGTGTAGAATATGAGCTCGCGATTGGCTAAAACATGCACGTTACCTAGCAACGAACCTGAATTAAATGTTGATCGACAAGTAACTTTAGTTCGCTTTCGATAAACCGGGTCCTAGTTAATTCGTTTTTCTTGTGTGAATTTAAGAAAGAGAGAACGGATTCCGACAACGCCGTAAAAAAAACCAGTCCAAGGACAACAACATATAGTTTCTCATTGATGATTTTTTCGCTGCCAGAGTACAAATTTTTCCTAATTAATCTTAAAGGAAATTGTGCTCGAACTATTATTTACTACGTGGGTTGGCAATAAGTACAAAATTTCAAAAACTTTGAAGAGGCTCGGCGTTTGACCGATTCAAGCTATCAATATCACGTCGAAGTATGAACACCCAAGCAGCAATTAGGATATTAGGACGGGTTTAATACAAGTTTTGAAGATTTGCACAATTGCTTGAGATGAAATAACTCACAAACATTATTTAGCTTAACGTAATAGACTAAGTAGAACCAACGTTGATACGGTTCGTATCACAGACGCCACGGCGTGACAAAATAGCCATATCAAAGATATCAGAAATAAGCAAAATTGCATTTCGTTTATAATAACATTATTTAATCGCGCATCGTTACCAGTTCTGTCCCTTCCACTTCTCCTATATGTAAATAGTAAATAAAAATTCAGTGAATGAACGCGTTTCCATCGAGTAAGCACCTGAAGGTTTCCTTGACTAACTTATATGAAGAGCTCAACCAACCAATTAAATAGTAAACCAAGAATCCCGAAACAATGGAATCAGGGGAATCTTACCTAAGTCAATCTCACCCAAAAGAGACCGCCAACATTCTATCAAATTTGTCATTTTTGTAAGTAAGCTATGATAAATTAGCTTTATTATTATGAACAAGATATTCGTTCCAGCTACGACCTTCCAATTTTCTTCAAAGGTTACAAAAACAGCCTACAAACCCACGATTTGTACAAAGTTCTAGACAACTGTCGCTCCAAACAACTAGGAGACGAATTAGAACATCAGTGGCAACTCGAGATTGATAAAAAAGGAAAACCGTCGATATGTCGAGCTTTGTGGATTTGTTTTGGCAAAACTTTTCTCTGCATTGGTTTGATACAACTCGTTTTTAAATTAGCAACGTCGTAAGTTTTATTATTATTGTTTTTTGTATTAAAAGATGAGTGATATTTTAGAGTGTGGTTACCAGAAGCTACATCGAAACTCGTTTCGTACTTCAGTCCAGATCAAGAAGACTTGACCAGACGCGATGCCTTTTATTACGCTTCAGTCGTAATCGGACTTACCACTTTAAATTTGTTTTTTTACAACAACTGCATGCTTGCACTTACTGAGCTTGGAATACGAGTTAGGACTTCTGTGTGCTCACTTTTGTACCGAAAGTCCTTGAGGCTCACCCCGGATTCTCTCTCAGAAGTTACAGTTGGGAGAATTATCACTGTTATGACCAAAGACGTTGATATTTTCACCGATTTTTTTTACAACGGGAATTACGTGTGGATTCCTCTGGTTCAAACTGTAGTTGTTGGGTACTTAATCTATTCGAAAATTGGAGTCGCTGCTTTTGCCGGAATTGGGTTCTTCCTCATCGTTTTACCTCTACAAAGTACTCATCGCCTAACACTAGTAGGTATCTTCTAATAAAAATATTTTGTAGTGTTCATTGCAAAAATGTCATACCCGCTTCATCTCACAAGCAGCAAAAAAACTGACGAAAGACTCGAACTCCTACAAGAAGTCCTTTCCTCTATCAAAATTATCAAAATGTACACTTGGGAAATGTTTTTCGAACGCAAAATCAACACGGCTAGAAAGTATAACCTTGTGATACTTAGTTCTCAATTCTACTCCTCTTTTTACAGAGAAGAGATGCACCAACTCGTCAAATTGTTCATCACAAAAGTCTGGATTCTCATCATCGGAAGCGTCGGTTCAAAGTTAGCTTTTTTTGTGTTTTTTCTAACGTACGTCTACTTGGGGGACTCTGAATCAAAAATAACAGCAGAAATCGTCTACTACATCATGAGCTGCTGTACTGACCTAGAATTTTCGCTTAGTGTTTTAATACCAATAGGACTTTCATACGCATCGGAAGCCTACGCCACCACTAAAAGAATCCAGGACGTTCTAACAGCCAAAGAATTGCTCCCAAAACAAACGATAACCGAAACCCAAAATCCGGAAATAGTTTTCAGTGGAGTTGACATCAAAATTCAGAAGAGAGTGATTTTGGCGGATGTATCTTTCGTTCTAAAGAAGGGTCTGCACGTGATTTCGGGTCACACAGGTAGCGGGAAAACGACTCTCTTGAAATTCATCCTACAGGAGTATCAAATGGAGGCAGAAGTCAAAATATCTGGAAACATATCGTACGCGTCCCAAGAACCCTGGCTTTTTCCTTCAACCATTAGAAACAACATTCTCTTTGGCGAAAAATACTCCGAAGAGCGCTACCAAGAAGTTCTAAGAATTTGTAACCTAGACTACGACCTAAACTTGCTGCCTGAACGTGATAACACGATTGTTGGTGATCATGGTATCAATTTAAGTAAGGGTCAGCAGACGAGGATAAACCTTGCAAGGGCTATATACAAAGACAGTGATATATACCTACTAGACGATTGTTTGGCCTCTTTAGACGTGTACGTAAGTGGCTACATTTTCGATGAATGCATTCGAAAGTTTTTAAAGGACAAGATTTGTGTTTTTGTAACCAACAGTAATAAATTCGTTTCAAAAGCTGATAGCGTGATTATGGTAAATAAAGGGCTAGTCAAAATTAGTAAAATGGTGGAGGAAGCAACCGTGGAATCAAGTGTGGTGATGGAGACTTCGCCTGAACAGCGAGAATGTGCACCAAAAGTTGATAAACAAATATATCACGAAAACAAAAAGTCCGGGAAAGTTAGTTTGAACGATTATCATAAATATTTTTCAAGTGGTGGATATTTCGCGTTTGGTTTGGTAATGGCTTTGTTTCTGAGTGCGCAAGGTACAACTAGTTATGGCGATAAGCTACTAAGCAACTGGTGAGTGTTTTGAGAAATGAGACTTTTCAACAAAAATTCTTGTAGGGTGACTTTGGAAGAAAATCGTTCAAGTTATGAGGAACTTAATGATACGAAGTCTAGTACTTACCAAGCGATAACCAGCGAAAACACTGGTAATTTGTACTTGATCATTATCACCGCTACGTCGTCTATTCTTCTAACGTTGATCAAATATTTGTGCTTTTTTACTTACACGAGGACTGCGTCTATCAACCTACACAGGGCTATGGTGCAGGCCGTGGTTCACAGTCCCATGAGTTTCTTCGACTCCAATTTCTTAGGGAATGTTTTAAATCGGTTTTCCAAAGATTGTACAACTGTTGACGAAAGTCTCCCTTACGTTCTATTTGAATGTTTCACTGTATGTAAACTTTCGTAGGTACGTTAACCAAATTATGACAGTTTTGATTTCAGTTGTTATTTATGGCTGCTGGAGGTATCATTTTGATGACAACGGTCAATATTGTGTTTTTGATAGAATCCGTATGTCTTCTGATTTTTGCCTACATGTTGAAGCAGTTTTGCCAACCCGCTGGACGTGATTTACACCGACTTAACGTAGCTAGTAACTTAAATTTTCTTAGAAACTTTTTGATGATAGTGAAATTTAGCTAGAAGCCCTATGATAGGGCATTTAAACTCAAGTCTGGAAGGTCTCACTACTATCAGGGCCAGCAACGTCCAAAAACGACTTATTGAAGAGTTTGATAATCACCAGAATTTGTTCACTTCGGCTAACTACATGTTCATGAACTGTGACTTTGCACTAGGATTTGGACTACAATTTTTTTGTACGGTTTTCATAACTTTTGTGATAATACAGTTTTTAATTACAACTAGTGGTATGTACGTCACGCATTTTTGATACGATAATGTATAATATCAAAAATTTTAGATCCAAGTGTGGGTGATGTAGGACTCGCCTTAACTCAGTGTTTCATGATAACAGAAATCATCAGTACCGGCATCAAAAATATATCAAGCTGTGAAAATTATATGACTTCAGTGGAAAGAATTGCAGAGTATTCGGAATTAAAAGTAGAAGATAAGAAAGGTCCGATTGCGAAAAATTGGCCAACGGATGGGAAAATCCATTTTGGTGGCGTTTCCTTGACTTACGACAACAAAACCACGTTACACAACATAAATTTCACTATTGAACCTAACGAGAAAGTGGGAATTGTTGGTAGAACCGGGGCAGGAAAATCATCCATTATATCAACTTTGCTACGAATGTATCAAACTGATGGCAAAATTTCCATCGACGGTATTAACATCCAAGAAGTGTCGCTGCAGTGGCTTAGATCCCACATCTCCATTGTTCCTCAAGATCCGTTCTTATTTTCAGGCACAGTTCGTGATAATTTAGATCCTTTAAAACAATACACAGACGACACTATATGGAAAGTCCTGGAGCAACTACACCTCAAAGACTTGATTGGTGATCTGAATATCAAAATTGATAAAAGCTCGAGTTTCAGTGCAGGTCAGAAGCAGTTGTTTTGTCTGGCACGGGCCGCTCTTCGTAAAACCAAGATTGTGATCTTGGATGAAATTGCAGCTAATGTTGACAAGGAGACGGAGGATTTGATACAAAAAGCAGTCAAGGACTACTTCCATGCCAATACTGTGATAACTATTACCCATAAACTAGAGTCAATTTTGACGTGTGATAAAGTTCTAGTCTTAGATAGAGGGTGTATTAGAGAATTTGGGCAACCAGCCCGTTTGTTAAAAAATAAGAATAGTTTTTTCTGTAGCGTTACAATGTCATAATAAACTAATTTTTGTATTTTTCGAAAATTATATAAATGCTTTGTAATTTCGATGTCATGTTTGGCCAACAACATAGAAGTCAATTCTTTAACACTTCAAGTTTTGTCTTGTTTTAGATAATCATCGAGTGTAACATTCATATCCGAGTATGTAATTGTTTTCGGAGAACTATTAAATAGTCTCATTTACGTTGATAAGATCTTTAAACAAGATTCACTACAACAAAAGGCCAAGTTAATTATCAGTTTAAAAACATTCAACATATTCACCTTTGATCTTATCGAAGGTGAATTTCCTTGTACAACTCGTTAATAAAAAACTAGTAAAATTTGTTCGTCTGAACAAACATTAATATCCCCACTACACCAAACCAATGTTCGTAAGCACTGGTGTGTAAATAAAAGATTACACGGATGTGTTTAAAAAAAATTATATGTGTAAAATTTAGGAAAGAGAGAGTATGGATCGCGACAACACCGTAAAAAGAGAAAACAACCCAAGAGCAACGGCAAATATTTTCTCATTGGTGACATTTTTGTAAGTACTAGACCAAAAATAAATTACTAACACTAATGAAAATGATCTGCTTTAGTTACACTCTAAAAATTTACATAAAAGGGTTCACCAAAGGTCTGGGTATCAACGACGTCTACGAAGTCTTGCCCGATTCACAATCAGAAAAATTGTGCCAAAAATTGAACCACTATTGGGAAAAAGAACAAAAGACCAGAGACTCACCATCTATATGTCGCGCTGTGTTTTTTTGTTTTGGAAGAACGTTTTTTCTCGTAGGAGTTATTCAGTTTGTTGCAGAGACCATTAAAACGTAAGTTTGGATATAATTGTTTGATGGAACGATAATCACGAAGGTTTTTTAGCGTTTGGTCACCACACGCTCTTTCCAAACTCATCTCTTACTTTAGTCCTGGCCAAACTGACTTGACAAAGCAAGATGCTATTTATTATGGCTGTTTGGTTGTTGGAATCAACTTAACAATGTCACTAGTGAGATCTAATTTTGATCTGATTTTGGCAGCTCTTTCACTAAAAGCAAGAGCTGCTGTTTCTTCACTGCTTTACCGAAAATCGCTGAAAGTGAGTTTTGAGTCTTTCTCGGACGTGACAGCCGGGAAAATCGTGACTATTTTATCAAAGGACACCGACGTTTTAGAAAACTTGTTTCGTTCAGGAAATGGCGTATGGATAGCTATGATACAAACTTGTGTCATCTGCATTTTAATTTATCAAAAAATAGGAGTTGCTTCCTTTGCTGGAATAACATTTTTCGTGGTGGTTTTCCCCCTTCAAGGTACCGATAACTTCAAAAAAGACAAATTTTTGCCAGTTCTTTATTTTCCAGTATATATCGGAACGTTAACCTACAGGTACAAACTGAAATGTAGTCAAAAGACAGACGAGCGTTTGAATTTAATTCGAGACGTTCTGTCGGCAATTAAGATCATCAAAATGTACACTTGGGAAAAATTTTTCGAAGACAAAATCCACGATGCCAGAAAGTAAGTCCACGTATTGTTAAAAATCTAATAAAAATGTCGTCGTTTTAGAAAAGAAATAAGGAAACTGCACAAGTTGTTTTACACCAAAGTTTGGATAACCGTAATTGGTAGTCTTTGCTCAAAAACTGCTTTCTTTTTGTTTGTAATGACTTACGTATGGATGGGTCACAACGTGTCGGCCGAAATTGTCTACTATATTGTGAGTTGTTTTAACGATTTGGAAACTTCACTTAGTAATGACATACCTTCCGGATTTTCTCAATTTGCTCAAACATTTGCAACGGCTACAAGAATTGAAAGTGTAATGAAAGCACCAGAATTACCAACCAAAGAGACAATAACTGATTCAAAGGAAGCCAAAGTTTGTTTGAACAATGTAGATGTCACCATTTACGATACTAAAATTTTGGAAAACATATCGTTGGTTATTAGTGACGGTCTTAATGTTGTTGTTGGTCATACTGGTAGTGGAAAAACCACACTTTTGAAAACCATTTTGGGAGAGTGTCAAACTACAGGAAAGATTAAAGTTTGTGGAAAAATTTCTTACGCATCACAAGAACCTTGGCTCTTTCCTTCCACCATCAAAAACAACATCCTGTTTGGAGAAGAATTCAACCAAAACCGCTATCACCAAATTCTCGAAATTTGTAGTCTAGATTACGACTTAGATTTGCTGCCTGAAGGTGAAAACACAGTTGTGGGAGAAAGTGGTATCAATCTGAGCAAAGGCCAACAAGCTAGAATAAATCTAGCACGAGCTTTATACAGAAAGAGCGACATATACTTACTGGATGATTGTCTTGCTTCCCTTGATGGTAGTGTAAGTGACAGCGTTTTCCAAAAATCCATTTGCGAGTTTCTCAACGACAAGATACGCATTTTTGTGACCAGTAGCACCGATTATGCACAAAGGGCAGATAAAGTCATTGTTGTGAATTCGAAATGTGTTAAATTCGGCGACGATGTCGACAAGACTCAAGTTTCATATACATTTGACAACATAGATGGATCTGCTAGATTAAAATCGACGGAAACTCATGAAGAGGATTCTTTGGAAAAACAAATCTACCACGAGAAGAAAAAGTCTGGAGTAGTTCCTCTGAATGATTATCTCAGCTACGTAAAGCATGGTGGAGGTCCTATACTGTTTATTTTGATAGTGTCCCTTTTTGTTTTGAGCCAATATGCGACTAGCTACAGCGACAAACTTTTGAGTAGTTGGTGAGTCTAAATTGTTTATTAATCGATAATTTAAACGACCATTTCAGGATTACTCTAGAACAAAATTTAACAAATTTGAAAGAACTAAATGAAACTGATAATCTAGAGTATGATAATCTTTACATAGAGAGACAACATCAGTTGGGACTTTATACTACAATCGTCCTTATGTCTATTCTTCTCGTTGTGGTCAAGTCCTTTTCGTACTTCCATTTTGTCCGGATGGCATCCATCAGCATCCATAAAGCTATGGTTCGCAATATCATGAACAGTACCATGAAATTTTTTGATACATTTTTTATTGGCAATGTTTTAAATCGGTTTACCAAGGATTTTGTTACTGTGGATGATACTTTGCCTTTTGTAGCTATGGATTGTTTTACGGTAAATAGAGATCTAAACGTACAAAAAAACAATGACGGGATTTTGTTGCAGATGATTTTTACTGTATCAGGGGGAATAATACTTCTGACTACAGTTAATTACATATTTCTTGTCGAGAGTCTTGTCCTACTGGTCGTTGCTTGCTTAATAAAGCAGTTTTGTCAGCCCACAGGTCGTAATTTGGAACGCCTTCATGTTATATGTAAGTTATATAAAGGCTATTATTATTATTATTATTTATTCATAAAAATTACATCGTGTATTAAAGAAAGTCCTTTGAGATTAAAAATAGCATTGATCTCGCTTTCGTATATATTGAAGTTATATGCAGCAACTCCAGAATTTAAAAAATTGAAAAATTGAAAAATCAAAAACCCGAAAAATCGAAAAATTGAAGAATTGAAAAAGTGAACAATCGAAACTTTGGGAAGTCGAGAAATGAGACAATATAAAAAACTTCAGAAATCGGAAAACTGAAAATTTAGAAAAGTCAAAATTTGAAGAACTGAAAAATCGAAAAATCGAAAATTTGAAGAATCGGAAAATTGAAAAAGCCAAGATTCAAGTATCGAAAAATTTCATTCTCATTTTTTCTCAAAGTAGTCCATTTTCTACAATACGATCATGCCTCATGTACATATGTATACAGGGTTAGTCACGAGAGAATTACTTCTGAAAATTATTTTTACGCAGCCCAAAATACGAATACCATGTACCATTTGATACTAACTGAATTTAAAATAAAATGCTTAATCCATGATTGCTTTGAGTTTGGCAATCTCATTTTGACAATTGTGGAAAAAGAGGTTACGTGAGTGTCCATGGTGGTACCGCAGCCAGTCGGAAATCTCCTCCGGCGCCGCTAATAAATCTGTCAGTGTGCCTCTTAATCTTTTGCAACCGATTAATCACGAGAAAATTATTTCTAAAAATTCTTTTTACGGAATTTTATTCAAAGGTTACAACACAAACTCAAACAAGTAAGTAAATAATTTAACTACTAATCTGTTGAGAATGTTGGGCATTTTGGGGGGATGCTACGGCTATTTTGTAAATGGATGGCCGAAGAAGTCCAGAGGTTGCAGATTTGCACTTCGAAGAGGCTCTAGGTGCCGCAGAGATGGCGAATTAACACATGCACATTAGCGGCGAACAACATTGGTAGAGCACTAACGGCTTCAGTATAGCCCAGATTGATCTGACTGTATGTCGTCGATCGAATGGGGCTCTAGAGGCGAGTCAACGATGAAAAAAAATGTTAAAAATTAATTAACGTCAAAGTGACATTGCCAAAGTCAAAGCAATCATGGATTAGGCATTTCATTTTAAATTTAGATAATATCAAGTGGTACAGGGTATTAGTATTTTGGGTTGCGTAAAAATAATTTTCAGAAGTAATTCTCTCGTGACTAACCCTGTATAGTTTTTTTTTTTCAAAAACACGATACTTAAAACATAATTCTAATTTCAAATTAACTCTTCGATATTTTAAGTATTTTACTGTTGAAAGAAGACTAGTATATTCCGAAAAAAAATTAAAGGATAGGCCCCACCCACCCACCCCATCTCAATTGTGATGAATTTTTTATTCGTTGTCAGACCGAGGGGCGGAGTATAATTTCAAAATGCATATTCCTCAACAAGAAAATACCATGTGGAACATGTTTTAAGTATCATGTTGTTGAAAGAAAAAAAATCAAAAACTAAGCCCCACCCACTCGCCCTGTCTCAATCGTGATGAATTTTTTATTCGGTGTGAGACCGGGGGGCGGAGCTTAACTGCAAAATCCATATTTCGCTACAAAATAGTAAAGATATTTCAATTTTCCACTTTCTCATTTTTTTAACATAATTTCTTGTAGAAAAATATGAACTCTGCATTTAAGCTCCGCCCTCCGTCTCACAACGAATACAAAAATTAAACACAATTGAGATGGCGCGGGTGGGTGGGGCTTATCCTTTGTTTTTTTTTCGTAATATACTAGTCTTCTTTCAACAGTAAAATACTTAAAATATCAAAAAATGAATTTGAGATTAGAATTATGTTTTAAGTATTGTGTTTTTGAAAAAAAACTATATACATTAAGAAAAAGATATCAATGATTAAGCCCCACCCACCCACCCTATCTCAATTCCGATGAATTTTTCATTTGTTGTCGGATTGAAGGGCGGAGTTTAACTGCAAAATCCATATTTCTCTACAAAATAGTAAAGATCTTTAAATTTTGAACGTCCTCATTTTTTTTAACATAATTTCTTGTAGAAAAATATGAACTCTGCATTTAAGCTCCGCCCTCCGTCTCACAACGAATACAAAAATTAATTACAATTGAGATGGGGCGGGTGGGTGGGGCTTATCCTTTGGTTTTTTTTCGTAATATACTAGTCTTCGTTCAACAGTAAAATACTTAAAATATCAGAGTGAATTTGAGATTAGAATTGTTTTAAGTATCGTGTTTTTGAAAAAAAAAACTATATACATTAAGAAAAAATGATGTATATTTTTTACTTTATAGAGTTTAAGTTATCACAAAAAATTGCTAAATCAAAAAGTACTTAAGAAACGAGGGAAGTTCTGTAGAAATAACCTTACACGAATTTCTTTATTAATAGTATTTACTCTTGGGCATGAGATTTGATCAAAATTTACATACTTTGCAGTTAAGCTCCGCCCTCCGGTCTCACACCGAATAAAAAATTCGTCACGATTGAGACAGGGCGGGTGGGTGGGGCTTAATTTTTGATTTTTTTTCTTAACATGTGTAGTTTTCTTTCAACAACACAATACTTAAAACATATTCCACATGGTATTTTCCTGTTGAGAAATATGCATTTTGCAATTATGCTCCGCCCCTCGGTCTGACAACGAATAAAAAATTCATCACAAGTGCGATAGGGGCGGGTGGGTGGGGCTTAATTATTGTCTTCTTTTTCGTAATGTATACTTATGTTCAACAACACGATATTTAAATCAATTCTAACCTCAAATTTGCCATTTGATATTTTAAGTATTGTTATTGATGGAAGAAGTGCTAAGAAAATCAAAGGACAAGGATGAATTTAATATAAAATATATGCGGTTGATCATGAGAGATAGTAACATCGCAATAAGAATCGAAACTGGTTAAAATTACAGAATTAATTGTATAATTCAACTTAGGATTATTATTTCCCAAATGTAGGACTACGCACTTGGTCTCATTTAGTGGCAACTGCCACCAGAGAGAGATCAAGATCATTTTGCAAACGTGCATGATCGGAAAGTGGATTACCATATAATTTACTCCGTCCGCAAAGGAAGAAATTTTGCATTTAACGTGCAGAGAAAGGTCGGCAACATAGATCAGAAATAATAATGGTCCAAGGACGGAACGTTGTGGGACCGCACTAGAAATTTTACACTATATTATTAAATATGTGTATGCAATTCTGGTTCTTCCTTATTCTGTCATTATTATTTCAGCAAGAAGTCCTTTAACGGGTCACTTAAACTCGACTTTGGAAGGTCTAACAACAATAAGAGCAAGCAATACCCAAGAAATCGTCATACATGAATTTGACAGACACCACGACCTATTTACTTCCGCACTTTTGATGGTAATCACCAATTTCATCGCACTGGGTGTCTTCCTACAATATATTTCTACAATTTTCACCGCATTGATAATTTTCCAATTTCTACTCACAGACGCTGGTAAAATTATTGACAGCTGTATATTAGCAAAAAATTATTTTCTTTTCACAGGTACCAGCGTTGGTGATGTTGGTCTAGCCATAACCCAGTCATTCGTTATTACCAGTATAATCAAATCAGGAATCACTAGTATCGCAGATTGTGAAAACCTAATGGTTTCAGTTGAAAGAGTTTTGGAATTTACGAAACTGGAAGAAGAGGATAAAGGTGGCAAAAATTTGAGCGGTTGGCCAGAACTTGGTTCGATAAGTTTCAACGACGTTTCTCTAACTTACAATGACACCAAGATGTTAAGAAACATCAATTTTGACGTAAACGCGAAAGAGAAAGTTGGTATTATCGGTCGAACTGGCGCTGGAAAATCATCCATAATCACAAGCCTATTTCGCATTTACCAAACACACGGAAAAATCACCATAGATGAAGTCGATATTAACGACGTTTCTTTAAAGTGGCTTCGATCAAACATTTCACTCATCCCTCAAGACCCTTACTTGTTTCCAGGAAGCATACGAGAAAATTTAGATCCTATGAAGCAATATACGGACGAAGAGATATGGAAAGTCCTAAAGGAACTACATCTAGATGCTGTAATTAAAGAGTTGGGTACTAGAGTCGACAAAGGAACTACTTTCAGTACTGGTCAGAAGCAGCTGTTGTGTTTTGCACGTGTGATCCTTCGCAAAAACAAGATCGTGATTCTTGACGAAGTGACAGCCAATGTCGATAAAGAAACAGAAGTGTTGATTGAAGAAATAGTTCAAAAACACTTTAAAGAGTGCACTATGTTGATTGTTGCTCATAAATCCTTAGCTGTTTCAAACTGTTCCAAAATAATTGTACTCAGTAATGGTAGGATAAGCGAATTTGATGACCGAGGTGCACTATTACAAAATAAAAGTAGTTCCATTCGTTATATAAGTAGATAGATTACATTTTTTTATAGTATGTACACACACACCTTTAGTCTTATCTACCTTGAATAAAACTTCAACACCACTGAATACGAAACCACCATATTAATTCATAATCATAATGCAATGCATAATTATATTAAAAATAATTTCTTCCTCTTCTTTTCATGGGAAACTTCAGGTCTATTGTAACTAAAAACCGGATCCACTGTAAAATTAAGCCAAGTTAATTAATTAACTTTGATCCTGTCAACACGGAATTACTTCATACTTCCGCTGAATAAAAATTGTGGATCCAAACACACCGTAGTTCCTGTAGTACACGAAAATTGTGTTCGTGTGAACTACAAACTTGTCCGTACTCAAAAATAGCAAATTATAAATTTAAACTAATATGACTCCTCAGCGTCAATTATCTTTTAAGTGGATAAAAACACTTTCCTTTTATAAATGGACCACACAATTCCGGGCGAATCATTTTCGACAGAAAGAGTATGGATCGTGACAACACAGTGAAAAGAAAAACGAATCCAAGAGTAACGGCAAATATTTTCACATTGGTGACGTTTTTGTAAGTAGTTGATATTAATAAATAAAACAAACAGTGAAAAATATCTGTTTAGATACACTCTAAAAACATACATAAAAGGATTTACCAAAGGTCTAGAAATCAACGATGTATATGATGTGTTACCCGACGCTCATTCAGGAAAATTGTGTCAAAAATTGGACCACTATTGGGAAAAAGAAAAAAAGACGAAGGACTCTCCATCTATATGTCGCGCTGTGTTCTTTTGTTTTGGAAGAACGTTCCTTCTCGTAGGAATTATTCAGTTCGTGGCTGAAACCTTTAACACGTAAGTGGATTTGAGTGTTTGATAAAAAAAATGGGCAAGTTGTTTTAGGATTTGGTCACCCGAAGCTCTCTCTAAACTCATTTCTTACTTCAATCCTGGCCAAACTAATCTGACCAAGGAAGATGCTATTTATTATGCCTGTTTGGTTATAGGAATCAACTTAACAATGTCTATAGTGAGATCTAATTTTGACATTATTTTGGCAGCTCTTTCACTGAAAGCAAGGGCCGCAATTGCTTCACTGCTTTACAGAAAATCGCTGAAAGTGAGTTCTGAGTCACTGTCGGATGTCACGGCAGGGAAAATCGTGACTATCTTGTCGAAAGATACCGACATTTTAGAAACGTTCTTTTCTTCAGGAAATGGGATTTGGATAGCTATGATACAGACTTGTGTCATCTGCTACTTAATCTATCAAAAAATAGGATTGGCGTCTTTTGCTGGAATAACGTTTTTCCTGGTGGTCTTCCCCCTTCAAGGTATGTAGCTATAACTACAATTATTTACTAAGTGGTTCTTTAATTTCCAGTGTATATCGGAACTTTGACATATAGTTACAAACTGAAATGCAGCCAAAAGACAGACGAGCGTTTGAACCTAATTCGTGAAGTTCTCTCAGCAATTAAAATCATCAAAATGTACACCTGGGAAAAATTTTTCGAAGACAAAATCAGCGATGCCAGAAAGTAACTGCACGTGTTATTAAAACTCCAATAAAAATGACGTTTTAGAAAAGAACTGAGGAAACTGCACAAGTTGTTCTACACCAGAGTTTGGATAAGCATAATTGGTAATCTTGCCTCAAAAACCGCGTTCTTCCTCTTCGTGATGACTTACGTATGGACGGGTCAAAATGTGTCCGCTGAAACCGTGTACTACATTTTGAGTTGCTTCAACGACTTACAAGGTTCACTTAGTGACCAAATTCCGTTCGGATTTTCACAGTTTGCTCAACTGTTTGCAATAGCTACGAGAATTGAAAGTGTAATGAAAGCACCAGAATTACCAACAAAAAAGACAATCACAGATTCAAAGCAAGCAAAAGTTTGTTTTAACGATGTAGACGTCACCATTCATGATACTAAAGTTTTGGAAAACATATCGTTGGATATTAGTGACGGTCTTAACGTCGTTGTTGGTCACACTGGTAGCGGAAAAACCACACTTTTGAAAACAATTTTGGGAGAGTGTCAAACTACAGGAAAGATTGACGTTTGTGGAAAAATTTCTTACGCGTCACAAGAACCTTGGCTCTTTCCTTCCACCATCAAAAATAACATCCTGTTTGGAGAAGAATTCAACCAAAACCGCTATCACCAAATTCTCGAAATTTGTAGTCTAGATTACGACTTAGATTTACTGCCTGAAGGTGAAAACACAGTTGTGGGAGAAAGTGGTATCAATCTGAGCAAAGGCCAACAAGCTAGAATAAATCTAGCACGAGCTTTATACAGAAAGAGCGACATATACTTACTGGATGATTGTCTTGCTTCTCTAGATGGTAATGTAAGTGACAGCGTTTTCCAAAAATCCATTTGCGAGTTTCTCGAGGACAAGATACGCATTTTTGTGACCAGTAGCACCGATTATGCACAAAGGGCAGATAAAGTCATTGTTGTGAATTCGAAATGTGTTAAATTCGGCGACGATGTCGACAAGACTCAAGTTTCATATAGATTTGACAACATAGATGGATCTGCTAGGTTAAATTCAACAGAAACTCATGAAGAGGATTCTTTGGAAAAACAAATCTACCACGAGGAGAAAAAGTCTGGAGTAGTTCCTCTGAATGATTATCTCACCTACGTAAAACATGGTGGAGGTCCTATACTGTTTACTTTGATAGTGTCCCTTTTTGTTTTGAGCCAATATGCGACTAGCTACAGCGACAAACTTTTGAGTACTTGGTGAGTCTAAATTGTTTATTAATCGATAATTTAAACGACCATTTCAGGATTACTCTAGAACAAAATTTAACAAATTTGAAAGAACTAAATGAAACTGATAATCTAGAGTATGGTAATCTTTACATAGAGAGACAACATGAATTGGGACTTTATACTACAATGGTCCTTACGTCTATTCTGTTCGTTGTGATCAGGTCCTTTTCGTCCTTCCATTTCGTCCGAATGGCTTCTATCAGCATCCATAAAGCCATGGTTCGCAATATCATGAACAGCACCATGAAATTTTTTGATACATTTTTTATTGGCAATGTTTTAAATCGGTTTACTAAGGATTTTGTGACCGTGGATGAAACTTTGCCTTTTGTGGCTATGAATTGCTTTACGGTAATTGTAAATCTCGATGTAGAGAAGACACATTAATGATATTTGTTGTAGTTAATTTTTACTGTGTCCGGAGGAATAATCCTTCTAACTACAGTTAATTACATATTTCTAATCGAAAGTCTTTTCTTTTTGGTAGCTGCGTGCTTAATAAAACAATTTTGTCAACCTACGGGTCGCAATTTGGAACGACTTCATATGATCTGTACGTATTTCTTCAAATTATTTTAATTACTGTTGTTTTTTCGGCAGCAAGAAGTCCTCTAACCGGTCACCTTAATTCAACTTTGGAAGGTCTGATAACAATAAGATCCAGCAATGCTCAGGAAATCGTTACAAACGAGTTTGACAGACACCAGGATCTTTTCACTTCTGCGCTTTTCATGGTAATCAGCAATTTTGCAGGTCTGGCTATTTTCCTAGAATATATTTCCATAGTTTTCACCAGTCTGATAATTTTCCAGTTACTACTAACAGACACTGGTAAATTTAACAAAACTTGTAGATCATCAAAACTTGATTTATTTTTTTACAGGCTCTAGCATTGGTGATGTTGGACTAGCCATAACCCAGGCATTCTCCATCACCGGCATAATCACATCAGGAATCACCAGTATCGCAGACTGTGAAAACCTAATGGTTTCAGTCGAAAGAGTTCTGGAATTTACGAAACTAGAAGAGGAGGATAAATCTGGAAAAAATTTGAGCAGTTGGCCAAAACTTGGTTCCATCAGTTTCAACGACGTTGCTCTAACTTACAACGACACCAAGATGTTAAGAAACATCAATTTTGACGTAAACGCGAAAGAGAAAGTTGGTATTATCGGTCGAACTGGCGCTGGAAAATCCTCAATAATCACAAGCCTATTTCGCATTTACCAGACACAAGGAAAAATCGCCATAGATGAAGTCGATATTAACCACGTTTCTTTAAAGTGGCTTCGATCAAACATTTCACTCATCCCTCAAGACCCTTACTTGTTTCCAGGAAGCATACGAGAAAATTTAGATCCTATGGAGCAATATTCAGACGAAGAGATATGGAAAGTCCTAAAGGAACTACATCTAGATGCTGTAATTAAAGAGTTGGGTACTAGAATCGACAAAGGAACTACTTTCAGTACTGGTCAGAAGCAGCTGTTGTGTTTTGCACGTGCGATCCTTCGCAAGAACAAGATCGTGATTCTGGATGAAGTGACAGCCAATGTTGATAAAGAAACAGAAGTGTTGATTGAAGAAATAGTTCAAAAACAATTTAAAGAGTGTACTATGTTAATTGTTGCTCATAAATCGTTAGCTGTTTTAAATTGTACCAAAATAATGGTGCTGAGTTCTGGTAGGATAAGCGAATTTGATGAACCGAATAAGCTATTCCAAAATGAAAAGAGTTTCATTCATTATATCAATTAGTAGGTTGTTACTTACTTAGCTTGGATGATACATGTCGTGTTTTAGATTTTATTTTTTTAATTTATGTTTTGTTTAAATAATTTATCTAAATAAACTCTACTGCCTCATCGTTGCAAAACAATGTTCATAATACCCACTAAGTGTAAATAAACTATGAGACAAAAGCGTGTAAACTAAACTCTATCTTCTCTGCAATAAATTATATTTTTGATCGTAAAGAGTATGTGTGAACATCACCATTTTGGGAAAAGAGACCATGGATCGTGATAACACGACAAAAAGAAAAACTAGTCCTAGACAAACAGCAAATATTTTCTCATTGGTGACGTTTTTGTAAGTACTGGAGCATCAATAAAAACCTAATTACGAATGACCTCTTTTAGCTATACTTTAAAAATGTACATTAAAGGGTACACCAAAGGGATAGAAATGAACGACATCTATAAAGTCTCACCTGACGCACATTCAGAAAAATTGGGGGAAAAGTTAGAACACTACTGGGAAAAAGAAAAAAATTCCAGAGACTCTCCATCTATCTGTCGCGTTGTGTTGTTTTGTTTTGGCAAAACGTTTTTCCTCGTAGGAATAATCCAACTTGTTTCGGAAATCGTTAAAACGTAAGTGTTCCTCTAGGTGTTTGACGAAAAGATCAACTAGTTGTTTTAGGGTGTGGTCACCTGAGGCCCTCTCCAAACTCATCTCTTACTTTAGCCCTGGACAAACTGACTTAACCAAGCAAGATGCTATTTATTATGGCTGCTTGGTTATTGGAATTAGCTTAACAAATTCATTAGTGAGATCCAACTTTGACATAATTTTGGCAGCTCTTTCACTAAAAGCAAGAGCTGCTGTTTCCTCATTGCTTTACCGAAAATCTCTGAGAGTGAGTTCTGAGTCTTTGTCGGATGTGACAGCTGGGAAAATCGTGACCATCCTTTCCAAAGACACCGACATTTTAGAAAGCTTTTTTCGTTCAGGAAATGGCGTGTGGATAGCTATGGTTAAAACAGGTGTCATCTGCTACCTAGTCTATCAAAAAATAGGAATGGCTTCGTTTTCTGGAATAGCGTTCTTTGTGGTGATCTTCCCCCTTCAAGGTAACTTCAAACAGGAAAAACTTTCATCACGTTTTTAATTTCTAGTATACATCGGAACGTTGACTTATAGGTACAAACTGAAATGTAGCCAAAAGACAGACGAGCGTTTGAATCTAATTCGTGAAGTTCTGTCAGCAATTAAAATCATCAAAATGTACACTTGGGAAAAATTTTTCGAAGACAAAATCCACGATGCCAGAAAGTAAGTTAAAAATCTAATCAAAATTGGCGCCTGAGAAGTTGTTTAAGCTACACACCAGAGCGCACTCAGGCCAATGTCGACTTTGCTTTTTCAGTTTTCGTTCAAGGGAAGAGTTAATTGATGTTAATTTTTGCTTTTGTTATTATAAAATTGTTAGAAAAAAAATGACTTCCAATTTTTTAATTTGTCAATTTTCGGATTTTTTTTAGTTTAGTGATTTTTCAATATCTCGATTTTTCGAATTTTCAATGTTTGGATTCCTGGATTTTTTGATTTCTCGCTTTTTTAATTTTTGGATTACCAATTTTTCATTAAACTTTAGCTTTATCAATTTTTCGACCGTTTTAACGTCGATTTCCCAATTTTTCAACTTTTCGATATTTTAATTTTTCAACTTTTAAAATTCTAGGTTTTTCGATTTCTCGAGTTTTCAGTTCATCTATGGTTCATTTTCTTTCCGAATTTTTAAATTTTCGGTTTTTCAATTTTTAACTTTTCTTCTCGGCTTTCCAGCCCTTGAATCCTCGATCTTCTGATTTTTCGATTTCTCGATGTCTCAGTTTTTTAATTTTTCGATGTCATATCCGCCTTCATTTCTTCGATAACTCCAATGGTTCTTCCAAAATCGTACACTGAAATAAATAAAAATATGCAAAATACTCCCAATTTTCGACCAATATTAAATTAAATTTTAGAAATTTCAATAAATACATTTTCTTGTAGATTTAGGGCCGCAGAAGTTGTATCCACTTTCATTTCTTCGATAACTCCTATGTTTCTTCCAGAATCGTCCTTTGAAATATAAAAAAATATGCAAAATACGCCCAATTTTCGACCAATTTTCAACAAAATTTTCGAAATTTCACTAAATACATTTTCTTGTAGATTTCGGGCCGTGGAAGTCATATCCGCTTTCATTTCTTCGATAATTCCAATGGTTCTTCCAGAATCGTCCTTTGAAACAATCAAAAATATGCAAAATACGCCCAATTTTCGACCAATTTTTTACAAAATTTTCGAAATTTTACTAAATACATTTTCTTGTAGATTTAGGGGCCAATTCCAAGTTGGTGGCGCAAGTCACTGGTGCAGCGCAACTTTATAATGCTAATTTGGGTATCAAATGCTGGTTGCTAGGGGTGACGGAATAAACAAGCGCAATTTTTCGAATTTTCCATTGAAATTTGCACCATGGAGTTGCGGCACCTCTAGTAGGCAGTGCAAGTTGGCGCAATTTATCTCGAAAAATTGCGCTTGTTTATTCCGTCACCCCTAGCAACCAGCATTTGATACCCAAATTAGCATTATAAAGTTGCGCTGCACCAGTGACTTGCGCCACCAACTTGGAATTGGCCCCTTAGGGTCGCAAAAGTCATATCCGCTTTCATTTCTTCGATAACTCCAATGGTTCTTAAAGAATTGTCCTTTAAAACATTAAAAAATATGCAAAATACGCCCAATTTTCGACCAATTTTCAACAAAATTTTCGCAATTTCACTAAATACATTTTCTTGTAGATTTAGGCCGGCAGAAGTCATATCCGCTTTCATTTCTTCGATAACTCGAATGGTTTTTCCAGAATTGTCCTTTGAAACATTCAAAAATATGCAAAATCCGCCCAATTTTCGACCAATTTTAAACAAAATTTTCGAAATTTCACTAAATAAATTTTCTTGTAGATTTAGGGTCGCAGAAGTCATATCCGCTTTCATTTCTTCGATAACTCGAATGGTTTTTCCAGAATTGTCCTTTGAAACATTCAAAAATATGGAAAATGTACCCAATTTTCGACCAATTTTCAACAAAATTTTCGAAATTTCGATAAATACATTTTTTTGTAGATTTCGGGCCGCAGAAGTCATATCCGCTTTCATTTCTTTGATAATTTCAACAGTTCTTCCAGAATCGTACTTTGAAACATTCAAAAATATGCAAAATCCGCCCAATTTTCGACCAATTTTCAACAAAATTTTCGAAATTTCACTAAATACATTTTCTTGTAGATTTCGGACCGTGGAAGTCATATCCGCCTTCATTTCTTGGATAACTCCAATGGTTCTTCCAGAACCGTCCTTTGAAGCATTCAAAAATATGCAAAATCCGCCCAATTTTCGACCAATTTTAAACAAAATTTTCGAAATTTCACTAAATACATTTTGTTGTAGATTTAGGATCGCAGAAGTCATATCCGCTTTCATTTCTTTGATAATTTCAATGCTTCTTCCAGAATCGTACTTTGAAACATTCAAAAATATGCAAAATCGGCCCAATTTTCGACCAATTTTCAACAAAATTTTCGAAATTTCACTAAATACATTTTCTTGTAGATTTCGGACCGTGGAAGTCATATCCGCCTTCATTTCTTGGATAACTCCAATGGTTCTTCCAGAACCGTCCTTTGAAGCATTCAAAAATATGCAAAATCCGCCCAATTTTCGACCAATTTTAAACAAAATTTTCGAAATTTCACTAAATACATTTTGTTGTAGATTTAGGATCGCAGAAGTCATATCCGCTTTCATTTCTTTGATAATTTCAATGGTTCTTCCAGAATCGTACTTTGAAACATTCAAAAATATGCAAAATCGGCCCAATTTTCGACCAATTTTCAACAAAATTTTCGAAATTTCACTAAATACATTTTCTTGTAGATTTCGGACCGTGGAAGTCATATCCGCCTTCATTTCTTGGATAACTCCAATGGTTCTTCCAGAACCGTCCTTTGAAGCATTCAAAAATATGCAAAATCCGCCCAATTTTCGACCAATTTTAAACAAAATTTTCGAAATTTCACTAAATACATTTTGTTGTAGATTTAGGATCGCAGAAGTCATATCCGCTTTCATTTCTTGGATAACTCGAATGGTTTTTCCAGAATTGTCCTTTGAAACATTCAAAAATATGCAAAATGCACCCAATTTTCGACCAATTTTCAATAAAATTTTCGAAATTTCACTAAATACATTTTTTTGTAGATTTAGGGCCGCAGAAGTCATATCCGCTTTCATTTCTTCGATAATTCCAATGGTTCTTCCAAAATCGTCCTTTGACACAATTAAAAATATGCAAAATCCACCCAATTTTCGACCAATTTTCAACAAAATTTTCGAAATTTCACTAAATTCATTTTCTTATAGATTTCGGGCCGCTGACGTCATATCCGCTTTCATTTCATCGATAATACCAATGGTTCTTCCAAAATCGTCCTTTGACACAAATAAAAATATGCAAAATCCACCCAATTTTCGACCAATTTTCAACAAATCTTTCTAAATTTCATTAAATACATTTTCTTGTAGATTTCGTGCCGCAGAAGTCATATTCGCTTCCATTTCTTCGATAACTTCAATGGTTTTTCCAGAATCGTCCTTTAAAACTTTGAAAAATATGCAAAATACGCCTAATTTTCGACCAATTTTCAACAAAATTTTCGGTAAATTTCACTAAATATATTTTCTTGAAGATTTCGGGCCGCTGAAGTCATATCCGCCTTCATTTCTTCGATAACGCCAATGGTTTTTCCAGAATCGTTCTTTGAAGCATTGAAAAATATGCAAAATACGCCCAATTTTCGACCACTTTTCAACAAAATTTTCGGATTTTCACTAAATACATTTTCTTGTAGATTTAGGGTCGCAGAAGTCATATCCCCTTTAATTTCTTCGATAACTCGAATGGTTTTTCCAAAATCGTCCTTTGAAATATATAAAAATATGCAAAATCCGCCCAATTCTCGACCAATTTTCAACAAAATTTTCGAAATTTCACTAAATACATTTTCTTGTAGATTTCGGGCTGCAGAAGTCATATCCGATTTCATTTCTTCGATAACTCCAATGGTTTTTCCAGAATCGTCCTTTAAACATTCAAAAATATCCAAAATCCGCCCAATTTTCGACCAATTTTTGAACAAAATTTTCCTAATTTCACCAAATAAATTTTCTTGTACATTTCGAGCCGCAGAAGTCATATCCGCTTTCATTTCTTCGATAACTCCAATGATTCCTCCAAATTCGTACTTTGAAATAAATAAAAATATGCAAAATCCACCCAATTTTTGACCAATTTTCACACAAAATTTTCGAAATTTCACTAAATACATTTTCTTGTAGATTTCGGGCCGCAGAAGTCATATCCGCTTTCATTTTTTCGATAACTCTATTGGTTTCACCAGAATCGTCCTTTGAATAATTCAAAAATATGCAAAATACGCCCAATTTTCCACCAATTTTCAAAATTCACTAAATGCATTTTTTTGTAAATTTCTAATTAATCTATTTTTGATTTTCCCCATTTCTCGACTTTTCGAAATTTCGATTTTTCGACTTTGCTTTTTTGGTTTTTCGATTTCTCAATTTTCCAATTTATTTGAGATTTGTTCCGGTTTTGGGATTTTCCAGTATTCTGAATCTGCGACGTTTCGATTTTGCGACTTCTGGATTTCGATTTTTTACTTTTTGAATTGTCAATTTTTCGTCTTTTAAACTTTAGATTTTTCAATTTTTGTTTCATCTCACGATTTCGGAATTTTTAAACTTTTCGATATGTAAATTTTCCAAATTTTTAAGTTTTCGATGTTTCAATTTTTTGAGATTTCAATTTCGATGTATCAATTTTTCCATTTCTAACTTTTCGATTATTCGATTTTGGCCTATTTGGGTTACACAATTTGTCGACTTCTCGACTTCTCGATTTCTCGATCTTTTGATTTTTCTAGTTCTCGATGTCTCAGTTTTTGAATTTTTCGATGTTTCGATATTTGAATTGTCCAATATTTCAATTTTCCAATTTTTAAATGCTCAAGTTTCGATTTCTCGATTTGTTAATTTTTCAATTTTTCGATTTTGAAATTTTAGATTTTCAAATTTTTATTTTTTTGATTTCTTGATGTTTCGATTTCTCCATTTTTCAATTTTACGATGTTTTAGTTTTTCAATGTTTTAAATTTTAGATTTTTAAATTTTTCGATTTTCCAGTTCTTCAATATTTTTAATTTTTTAAAATTTTGAATTTCTAAATTTTGAATTTCTGATTTCACAATTAATCTATTTTTTGATTTTTCCTATTTTCGACTTCCCAACGTTTCGAATTGTCAGTTCTTCAGAATTTTAGTTCTTCGATTTTTTAATTTATCGATTTTTACTTGAAGTATTGTAATCGAGTCCGTTGGCCCACTCTCTGCTTTTACGTTTTTTTTATATTTCATGACCCCTAGAGTACGAAGAAATAGGTCTCCCGTTTCCGTCTGTATGTCTGTATGTCTGTATGTCTGTCTGTCTGTCTATCTGTCTGTTGGTCTGCCGTCTTGATTTCTATTAGACAGAAAATCTCCGAAAGTACTAGGCCGATTGTTGTCAAATTTTGTATTTATATTAGCAATATCACGCTAACCAAAATTTGTCTAAACATTGCCACCAATAATGTGATGACGTCACTTCCTACACATGTAGTTTAAGACTCCGTGTTAATTGTGTTTTTAACCAAAACATCCAGATTTTTTGAAAAACTTGTGAAATTTAAAGGTGCTAAACTACAAATTTCCATAGTCACGTGTCAAATTCCTAAATCTACCCGAAATGTGCAAAATATGATAAGTTCTTACTTGTGAGTTATCATTGCATTCGTATTTTTTAGATTGGCTTATACAGAAGGCTGAAAAAAATTAATAAATGTGTTAATTTATTTTATTGATTAAATCATGAACGACTAACATCATTTTGCTCAGAAAATTTTGGGAATACAATACTGTTATTTTTAGTATTACATTATTATATTCAATTTTCAGAATTTCTAAATTTTCGATTTTCTAATTTTTCAATTATCCGACTGTTCAATTTACATTACATTTAAAGAATGAATTCTTAACTAAACTGTTTCCCGTAGAAATTCTAAACGCTAAGAGTCGACATTGGCCTGAGCGCACTCCGACCTGTGGATCAAACAAGTTCTCACGCGACGAAATGACGTTTTAGAAAAGAAATGAAGAAACTTCACAAGCTGTTCTACACCAGAGTTTGGATAAGCGTAATTGGTAGTCTTTGCTCAAAAACTGCTTTCTTTTTGTTTGTAATGACTTACGTATGGATGGGTCAAAACGTGTCTGCTGAGACTGTCTACTACATTTTGAGTTGTTTTAACGATTTAGAAGGTTCACTTAGTAACGAGATACCTTTTGGATTTTCTCAGTTTGCCCAAACCTTTGCAACGGCTGTAAGAATTGAAAGTGTAATGAGAGCACCAGAATTACCAACCAAAGAGACAATAACTGATCCAAAGGAAGCCAAAGTTTGTTTGAACAATATAGATGTCACCATTCATGATACTAAAATTTTGGAGAACATATCGTTGGATATTAGTGACGGTCTTAATGTCGTTGTTGGTCACACGGGTAGTGGAAAAACCACACTTTTGAAAACAATTTTGGGCGAGTGTCATACTACAGGAAAAATTGACGTTTGTGGAAGAATTTCCTATGCATCACAAGAACCTTGGCTATTCCCTTCCACCATCAAAAATAACATCCTGTTTGGAGAAGAATTCAACCAAAACCGCTATCACCAAATTCTCGAAATTTGTAGTCTAGATTACGACTTAGATTTACTGCCTGAAGGTGAAAACACAGTTGTGGGAGAAAGTGGTATCAATCTGAGCAAAGGCCAACAAGCTAGAATAAATCTAGCACGAGGTTTATACAGAAAGAGCGACATATACTTACTGGATGATTGTCTTGCTTCTCTTGATGGTAATGTAAGTGACAGCGTTTTCCAAAAATCCATTTGCGAGTTTCTCAAGGACAAGATACGCATTTTTGTGACCAGTAGCACCGATTATGCACAAAGGGCAGATAAAGTCATTGTTGTAAATTCGAAATGTGTTAAATTCGGCGACGATGTCGACAAGACTCAAGTTTCATATACATTTGACAACATAGAAGGATCTGCTATATTAAATTCGACAGAAAGTCATGACGGAGATTCTTTGGAAAAACAGATCTACCACGAAAAGAAGAAGTCTGGAATAGTTCCTTTGAGGGACTACCTCAGATACGTGGAGCATGGTGGAGGTCTTATATTGTTTATTTTGATAGTGTCGCTTTTTGTTTTGAGCCAGTATGCGATTGGCTACAGCGATAAGGTTTTAAGCACATGGTGAGTTTAATTTTTTAATTAACACTAGTTTGAAATAGTGCCATCAGGGTTACTGTAGAACAAAACTTCACAAATCTCAAAAAATTAAATGAAACTGATAGTCCAGAGTTTGATGATCTCTACCAAAAGAGACAACATGAGTTGGGGCTGTACTCTATCACGGTTTTTGCATCCATTCTTCTAGTTCTAATCAAATCTTTTTCGTACTTTCATTTTACCCGAACTGCATCAATCAGTTTACATAAAGCCATGGTTTGCAACATTATGAATAGCACCATGGAATTTTTTGACTCTTATTTTATTGGTAATGTTGTAAATCGATTTACTAAGGATTTTGTTAGTGTGGATGAGGTTATTCCTTTTGTGGCTATGGGATGCTTTACGGTAATTAGAAAATAATCATACAGAATATATATAATTTACATTACTTAAATTATTTGTAGATGATTTTCACCGTTTCAGGAGGAGTAATTCTTCTAACTACAGTTAATTATATCTTCTTGGTCGAATGTCTTTTCCTTTTGCTAGCTGCTTGTGTAGTAAAACAGTTTTGCCAACCCACTGGTCGTAATTTGGAACGTCTTCATGTTATATGTACGTGTAATTGTCAGCTTAATTTCTTTATATCGTAGAAGTATTTGTTTTCTTATAGCCAGAAGTCCTTTAACTGGCCACGTCAACTCGACTTTGGAAGGTCTAACGACAATAAGAGCAAGCAATGCTCAGGAAATCGTCATACAGGAGTTTGACAGACACCAGGACCTATTCACTTCTGCACTTTTGATGGTGATCACCAACTTCGTAACCGTCAGTGTCTTCCTAAAATACCTAGCTACAGTTTTCACGAGTTTAATAATTTTTCAGTTTTTACTAACAGATGCAGGTAAGTTTGATAACAATCATCAGTTATCAAAAAAGTATTAAGTACTCCATTTTTTCAGTTGCCAGCGTGGGTGATGTTGGTCTAGCGATAACCCAGGCTTTCGTTATCAGCAATATAATCACATCAGGAATCAGTAATGTCGCCGATTGTGAAAACCTGATGATTTCAGTTGAAAGAGTTCTGGAATTTACACAACTGGAAGAAGAACATAAGGATGGTAAAATTCTGATCGGTTGGCCAGAATTCGGTTCCATAATTTTCAGCGACGTTTCTCTAACTTACAAAGACAACAAGATATTAAGCAATATTAATTTCGCCGTCCATTCGAAAGAGAAGCTCGGTATTATCGGTCGAACGGGTGCCGGAAAATCCTCTGTAATCACAAGCTTATTTCGTCTATACCCAACGCAAGGAAAAATCACCATCGATGGCGTTGATATTAATGATATTTCTTTAAGTTGGCTGCGAACAAACATTTCTGTCATTACGCAAGATCCTTACCTGTTTCCAGGGACCGTACGAGAAAACTTGGACCCTATGAAGCAGTACACGGACGAACAAATGTGGAAAGTCTTAAAGGATCTACAACTAGACAATTTAGTTAAAGATTTGGATATCAGAGTTGACAAAGGAGCCACTTTCAGTACCGGTCAGAAACAGTTATTGTGTTTGGCACGTGTGATTCTTCGGAAGAATAAGATTGTCATTCTTGATGAGGCAACGGCCAATAGTGATAAAGAAACGGAAATAGTCATACAAGAAATAGTACAAAAAGAATTTAATCACTGCACGATACTAGTTATTGCTCATAAACCATTACCTCTTTCACACTGTTCCAAAATAATGGTACTCAGTAATGGTAGGATTGCCGAATTTGACGAACCAATGAAATTGTTACAAAAGAAAAACAATTTTTTTCGTGCCATAAATCGATAAGTTATAACTATAATGTTTAGGTGAATACTTTAAAATAAAAAAGGCCTATTATGTTTTTTTTTCTTATTATATTTTTGCAGCTGAAAATAAAACTATTTCTGTAATTTATTAAAAATGATGCACAAGTGGAGAGCGAGAAGCGAGTAAGGCAAGGTTGCACCGGCCGCACTTTAGACGGGTTGATAGGATATATATCAACGGAAATACATTACATCGGAAGAATGTCACGTAGACATTTGTTTGATTTGAATGAGTTTATCGCCCCAAAACAGATGACTAAAATTGTTCATAAGCCTCCATTGAACAAAATATAAAAATTTATTCGGCAAACTTTTCAGGTGGCGTCATCAATTTTTTGGAGAGGACAAGTAAATATATTTTGAATAAAAACTGTAAACCATCTGCAAGATTTCAAAGCATTCGGTTTTGCAGATTCCAAATTAAATGTCAAAATGTTGTTTCCTAATTTTGATTTTTTTTCCAAAAATTTGGACGTTTCGGGTAAAATCTCAATTCGGAGTTATAAACTACCTGTGTAAGACTATGTTATTTGATATAATTTAAAACCCATTTACTATGTACAATTTTGAAGTGACGTCATCACATTAGTGGTGGGGATGACAAATTTTGGTTAGCGTTTTACCATAGATTAATATAGAGAAAAAAAATACACAATTAAAATAATCGAAAATTCGAAAAATCGAGAAATCTAATAATCGAAAAATCGAAACCTAAAAAATAGTAAAACCGAAACATCGAAAAATCGAAATATCGAAGAACTGAAAATCGAAAAATGGAACATTAGAAAATCGAAAAAATGTAAAATTCAAGTCTAAAATTTAAAAACCGAATAACGAAAAATCGAGAAATTGAAACTCCCAAATCTAAAAAATCGAATAACTGAAAAGTCGAAACAACGAAAAACTGGAAAATCGAAAAACCGGAAAATCGAAAAATCAAAAGATCAAGAAATCGTGGAGTCGAAAAGCCGAACAATTGAGAAACCGAAATAGCCCAAAATCGAAAAATCGAAAAGTTAAAAATTGAACAATTTATAAATTGAGAAACTGACAATCAAAATATCGAAAAATCCAAATCTCGATAAATCGAGAAACCAAAAAACTTAAAAATTCGAAAAACTGAAAATTGACAGATTGAAAGATCAAAAGAACGAAAAATCGAAAAGTGATGAAGTCGAAAAACCGAAAAATAGAGAAATCGACAAACAAAAAAATAAAAGTTAAAAAATTGGAAAAGCTGAAAAATCAAAAAACGAAAAAATGGAAAACTGGAAAAAATGAGAAACCGAAATAGGCCAAAATAAAAAATTGAAAAACTGATAAATCGAAAACCTGAACAATCAAATCTCGATAAATCAGGAAAAAAAATCAACCAATCGAAAAATTGAAAAGCAGAACATCTAAAACCACGAAGTCGAAAAATCGAAAGACTAACAAATATTGGAATATTGAAATATCAAAAGATTGAAAAATCTAAAATTTAAAAATCCAAAAATTGAAAAATTGAAAAAGTAAAAAGGTAGACACATCGAAAAATCCAGGAGTCAAAAATAGAAAAGCCGAAGAATTGAAATATTGAAAAATCCTAAAACTGAAAAATCGAAAATCAAAAAAGTGAAGTCGAAAAATAGAAACCTTAAAAAATCGAAAAATTGAAAAATCAACACCTAAAAAATCAAAAAAGTCAAAGAATTGAAAAGGAAAATCGAAACACCCGAAGGTCAAGAAATGGGAAAATCAAAACATCGATTAATTGAAAAATCTAAAAATTGACAGTTTATAAATGTCAAATTTGAAACATTGAAAAATCGAAAATTTGAAAAAACGACAATTGAAAAACAGAAAATCTAAAACCGGGAAAAATCAATAGATTAAGAAATCAAAACATTTGACAAATTCTAAAACATGAAAAACAGAAATATCGAAAAACTGAAATGAAAAATCGAGAAATCGAAAAATCTAAAATTTTAAATATTGAAAAATTAAAACATCAAAAAACTGAAAAATCTAAAATTAAAAATCGAAAAAGTGAAAAAACGACAATTGAAAAACAGAAAATCTATAACCGGGAAGTCGAAAAATCGAAAGATTAAGAAATCGAAACTTTGAAAAATTGAAATATGGAAGAGCTGAAATAAAAAACCGAGAAATCGAAAAATCTAAAATTTTAAATATTAAAAAATTAAAATACCAAAAAATTGGGAAATCTAAAATTTAAAAATCCAGAAGTCAAAAATGGAAAAGACGAAGAACAGAAATATTGAAAAATCCCAAAACTGAAATATCAAAAAACTGAAAAATGAAGGAAAAAGTGACGAATCGAAAAACTGAAAAATCATAAAACTAAAATATCCAAAAACTGAGAACCTAAAGAATCGAAAAACTGAGAAATTGAAAAGTCAAAAAAGTGAAGTGGAAATATCGAAACCTTAAAAATATCGAAAAATTGAAAATTGAGAGATTGAAAGATCAAAAGAACGAGAAATCGAAAAGTGATGAAGTCGAAAAACCGAAAAATAGAGAAATCGTCAAACAAAAAGTTAAAAGTTGAAAAATTGGAAAAGCGGATAAATCAGAAAACCTTAAAAAGGAAAACTGGAAAAACTGGAAACCGAAATAGGTCAAAATAAAAAATTGAAAAACTGATAAATTGAAAACCTAAACAATCAAATCTCGATAAATCAGGAATGAAAAATCAACAAATCGAAAAATTGAAAAGCAGAACATCTGAAACCAGGAAGTCGAAAAACCGAAAGATTACCAAATATTGGAATTTTAAAATATCAACAGAATGAAAAATCTAAAATTTAAAAATCCAAAAATTGAAAAATCGAAAAAGTAAAAAGGTAGACGCATCGAAAAATCCAAAAGTCAAAAATAGAAAAGCCGAAGAATTGATATATTGACAAATCCTAAAACTGAAATATCTAAAAACTGAAAAATCGAAAAATCAAAAAGGTGAAGTCGAAAAATAGAAACCTTAAAAAATCGAAAAATTGAAAAATCAAAACCTGAAAAATCAAAAAATCAAAGAATTGAAAAGGAAAATCGAAACACCCGAAGGTCAAGAAATGGGAAAATCAAAACATCGATTAATTGAAAAATCTAAAAATTGACAGTTTATAAACGTCAAATTTGAAACATTGAAAAATTGAAAATTTGAAAAAATGACAATTGAAAAACAGAAAATCTAAAACCGAGAAAAATCAATAGATTAAGAAATCAAAACATTTGAAAAATTCGAAAACATGAAAAACGGAAATATCGAAGAGCTGAAATGAAAAATCGAGAAATCGAAAAATCTAAAATTTTAAATATTGAAAAATTAAAATATCAAAAAACTGAAAAATCTAAAATTTAAAAATCGAAAAAGTGAAAAAACGACAATTGAAAAACAGAAAATCTAAAACCGGGAAGTCGAAAAATCGAAAGATTAAGAAATCGAAACATTTAAAAAATTGAAATATGGACGAGCTGTAATGAAAAAACAAGAAATCGAAAAATCTAAAATTTTAAATATTGAAAAATTAAAATACCAAAAAATTGAGAAATCTAAAATTTAAAAATCGAAAAAGTAAAAAGTCGACACATCGAAAAATCCAGAAGTCAAAAATGGAAAAGACGAAGAACAGAAATATTGAAAAATCCCAAAACTGAAATATCAAAAACTGAAAAATCCTAAAACTGAAATATCCAAAAACTGAGAACCTAAAGAATTGAAAAATTGAGAAATTGAAAAATCAAAAAAGTGAAGTCGAAATATCGAAACCTTAAAAATATCGAAAAATTGAAAATTGAGAGATTGAAAGATCAAAAGAACGAGAAATCGAAAAGTGATGAAGTCGAAAAACCGAAAAATAGAGAAATCGACAAACAAAAAGTTAAAAGTTGAAAAATTGGAAAAGCGGAAAAATCAAAAAACCTTAAAATGGAAAACTGGAAAAACTGAGAAACCGAAATAGGCCAAAATATAAAATTGAAAAACTGATAAATCGAAAACCTGAACAACCAAATCTCGATAAATCAGGAATGAAAAATCAACAAATCGAAAAATTGAAAAGCAGAACATCTAAAACCAGGAAGTCGAAAAATCGAAAAACTAACAAATATTGGAATATTAAAATATCAAAAGATTGAAAAATCTAAAATTTAAAAATCCAAAAATTGAAAAATCGAAAAAGTAAAAAGGTAGACACATCAAAAAATCCTAAAACTGAAATATCTAAAAACTGAAAAATCGAAAAATCAAAAAAAGTGAAGTCGAAAAATAGAAACCTTAAAAAATCGAAAAATTGAAAAATCAAAAACCTGAAAAATCAAAAAACCAAAGAATTGAAAAGGAAAATCGAAACACTCGAAGGTCAAGAAATGGGAAAATCAAAACATCGATTAACTGAAAAATCTAAAAGTTGACAGTTTATAAATGTCAAATTTGAAAAATTGAGAAATCCAAAATTTCAAAAAACGACAATCGAAAAACAGGAACCGGGAAGTCGAAAAATCGAAAGATTAAGAAATCGAAACATTTGAAAAATGGAAGAGCTGAAATGAAAAACCGAGAAATCGAAAAATCTAAAATTTTAAATATTGAAAAATTAAAATACAAAAAACTGACAAATCTAAAATTAAAAAATCGAAAAAGTAAAAAGTCGACACATCGAAAAATCCAGAAGTCAAAAATGGAAAAGTCGAAGAACAGAAACACTGAAAAATCTCAAAACTGAAATATCGAAAAACTGAAAAATGAAATAAAAAGTGACGAATCGAAAAACTGAAAAATCCAAAAACTGAGAATCTAAAGAATCGAAAAATTGAGAAATTGAAAAATCAAAAAAGTGAAGTCGAAATATCGAAACCTTAAAAATATCGAAAAATTGAAAAATCAAAAACCTGCAAAATCGTAAGATCGAAAAATTGAATAATAAGTAAACTGAAAAATCCCAAAACTGAAATGTCCAAAAACTGAGAAATTAAAAAATTGAAAAATTTAGAAATCGAAAAATCAAAAAAGTGAAGTTGAAAAATCGAAACCTGAAAAAATAGAAAAAGTGAAAAACCAAAAAACCTCAAAAATCAATTAATTGAAAAATCGACAAATAAAGGGTTTATAAAAGTCAAAAATTGAAAAATCGAAATATTTATAAATCGTAAAATTGAAGAGAAACACTGAAAACCGAGAAATTGAAAAATTGAGAAATTGTAAAATCCAAAAATTGAATAATAAATAGGAGTAAACTGAAAAGTCCCCAAAACTAAAATTTCGAAAAACTGAGAATTCGAAAGTTGAAACAGCAAGAAATTACGGTCGAAACCGGTTAGATGTGTATCAGATCACGGATCATGGGTTATAAATCAAATCGTTTCCGAACGCTTAGAGTCGACATTGGCCTGAGTGCGCTCTGGCCTGTAGATCAAACAAGTACTCAGAGGACGAACTGTAATTCGTGTTACCTGAATTAAAGTCAAGGAAACAGTAAGCAGCTTATAATATTCTGGTAAATCAAGTGCTCGAGAAGTAAAAAAAATACAAAATGTAAATGCTTGTTTAAACTCTCTTGTGGTACTTTAGATGTATTACAACCTAAAACAAAATCCATCAAAACAATAGGCCAAGTTAAGTGCTTAACAAACATTAAACATTTTCATCTTTTGATCTTAACCACATTGAATTCCTTCATACATCGACTAATCAAAAAACCAACGAGTATAGTTACTCTAGATAAACACTAACACCTCCATCGCTACAAACAATCATCATAACAGCCACTGATGTGTAAATAAAACGTTGCACAAGAGTGCTTTGTAAGAATCCCATGTAAACTAAACTCTATTTTCTCTTAAGTAAATTATATATTTGATGCACGTACAAAGATAATAGAATTAGGACGAAAATTAGAACCAACCTAATTCCCGCCGTCAGTTGACTACAAATCCACGTACATCGAGCAGCATCATTTTAGGAAAAGGAACCATGGATCTTGACAACACCATAAAAAGAAAAACCAATCCAAGAGAGACGGCAAACATTTTTTCATTGGTGACGTTTCTGTAAGTATTGGAGCAGCAATTAAAAACTATCACTAACAATTTCTGTTTTAGCTACACTCTAAAAATCTACATCAAGGGATACACCAAAGGCTTAGAAATGAACGACATCTATAAAATCTCATCAGACGCACATGCAGAAAAATTGGGGCAAAAGTTAGAACACTACTGGGAGAAAGAAAAAAAGACCCGAGATTTTCCATCTATATGTCGCGTTGTGATGCTTTGTTTCGGCAGAACTTTTTTTCTCGTGGGAATAATCCAGTTTGTTTCGGAAATCGTTAAAACGTATGTGTTCCTCTAGGTGTTTGAAAAAGAGATCAACTAGTTGTTTTAGGGTGTGGTCACCTGATGCCCTCTCCAAACTCATTTCTTACTTTAGCCCTGGCCAAACTAACTTAACGAAGAAAGACGCTATTTATTACGCCTGTTTAGTTGTTGGAATCAACTTAACAAATTTTTTAGTGAGAGCTAATTTTGACTTGATTTTGGCAGCTCTTTCACTAAAAGCAAGAGCTGCTGTTTGTTCACTGCTGTACCGAAAATCTCTGAAAGTCAGTTCTGAGTCTTTGTCGGACGTGACAGCCGGAAAAGTCGTGACCATCCTTTCGAACGATACCGAGATTTTAGAACATTTATTTCGTTCCGGAAATAGAGTGTGGATAGCTACGATAAAAACATGTGTCATTTGCTACTTGGTCTATCACAAAATAGGAACGGCCTCGTTTTCTGGAATAACGTTCTTTCTGGTGGTCTTCCCCCTTCAAGGTAACTTAAAAAAAGAAAATCTCTTGCCACTTTTTTAATTTTTAGTTTACATCGGAACGTTAACTTATAGATACAAACTGCAGTGTAGCCAGAAGACAGATGAGCGTTTGAATCTAATTCGTGAAGTTCTCTCAGCTATTAAAATTATTAAGATGTACATTTGGGAACAATTTTTCGAAGACAAAATCCACGATGCCAGAAAGTAAGTACACATTTTGTTAAAAATCTAATCAAAATTGGCGACTGAGAACTTGTTTGATCTACAGACCAGAGCGCACTTAGGGGAATATCGACTCTAAGCGATTTATCTATAACCCGACATTCGTTCGAGCTGATTTCTACTGCGAAGAACTAACCCGTTTCGACCTCAAGTTCTTCAACTTAAAAAGTAGCATAGTTTTCAACTTGTGGTTTATAAATACGCCATTCGGATTTCGATTTTTCGGTTTTTCAACTCTAGATGTGATGATTTCAATTCTGGGCTTTTTCAATTTTTTCATTCTTCAAATTTTCGATTTCTCGATTTTTGTATTTTTCGATTTCTCAATTTTCCGATGTTTCAATGATGCGATTTTTCAGTTTTTATTCTTTTCAATTTTACGATTTTTAAATACATATTTCGATTTTTCTATTTTTCAAATTGTCATAATTTTCAGTTTTTCGATTTCTGAACTAATCTTTTTTATTTTCCTATTCCTCCTCTTCCCAAAGCTTCGATTTTTTCAATTCTTCAATTTTTCTTTTTTTCAATTTTTCGATTTTTCAATTTCTTGATTTTTCGATTTATAGAATTTAGATGTTTCGAGGTTTTGATTGTTCAATTTTTCGATTTATAAATTTTTCAATTTTCAACTTTTCTTCACGGCTTTCCAGCCTTTGATTTCTCGATCCTCTGATTTTTCGATTTCTCGATTTATCAGTTTTGAATTTTTCGATTTTTCTTTTGGGCTTTTCAATTTTTCGATTTTCCAATTTTACGACGTTTCGATTTTTCAGTTATCCGATTTTTAAATTTCTCACATTTTTAAAATCTGGAGTTTCGGTTTCTCGATTTGTCGATTTTTCAGTTTTTCGATTTTTGAATTTTAGGTTTTAGAAATTTTTATTTTTTAATATTTTGATGTTTGGATTTCTCCATTTTTCATTTGTGCGATATTTTAATTGTTCAGTATTTTAAATTTTCAATTTTTCAATTTCTCAATTAATCTATTTTTCAATTTCCCATTTCTCGTAGTTTCGATTTTTCAGTTCGATTTTTTCGACTTTGCTTTTTTGGTTTTTCGATTTCTCAATTTTACATTTTTTTCATTTCTCAATTTTTAGATATTTTTTTCAGTTTTGGGATTTTCTAATATATTGATTGAATCTTCGACTTTTCGATTTTTCGATTTCTGAATTTTTCGATTTTTTATTCTTTGAATTTTCAGTTTTTCGTTTTTTAAACTTTACATTTTTCAATTTTTTTACTGTTTTATATTACGATTTCTCGAATTTTCAAATTTTCGATTTGTCGGTTTTTCGATTTTTTACTTTCCGGGTTTTCGATTTTTCGATTTTTAAATGATCCGATTTATCAATTTTCGAGTTCCGTTTTCTGGATTTGTTGATTTCTCAGGTTTTCTATTTTTAAATTTTAGATTTTCGAACTTGTAGTTTTTGATTTTTTTGATGTCTCGATTTCTCAATTTTTCAAATTTACAATATTTTAATTTTTCAATGTTTTAAATTTTAGAGTTTTCGATTTTTCAGTTCTTCAATATTTTAAAATTTTTTAAGCTTTGGCGTTTCTGAATTTTGAATTTTCCGCTTTCTGAATAAATTTATTTTTTGTTTTTCCCATTTCTCGATTTTCCAAAGTTTCGATTGTTCAGTTCTTCAATTTTTCGATTTCTCGATTTTTTTATTTTTTGATTTCTCAGTTTTCCGACGTTTCAATGAGACGATTTCTCAATTTTTGTCCTATTTAATTTTACAATTTTTAAATATTTATTCCATTTTTCAAATTTTGAGGTTTCAAAATTTTCAATTTTTCGATTCCTGAACTAATCTTTTCTTCAGGTTTTTTGATTTTTCAATGTTTCGATTTTTTAAGGATACGATTTTTCGACTTTGCTATTTTAGTTTTTCGATTTTTCACTTTTTCAATTTTTTAATTTCTCAATTTTTTTGATATTTTTTCAGTTTAGTCATTTTTCAATATTTAGATTTTTCGACTTTTTGAAGTTTGGATTCCTGGATTTTTCGAGTTCTCGAGTTTTCTTTTCTTCTATATATCAATTTTTCAATTTTCCGAATTGCTAAATTTTTGATTTTTCCAAGTGTTCTTTTTTAAATTTTTTTGATTTCTTACTTTTCTTCTTGGGTTTCCAGTCTTTGATTTCCCGATCCTCTGATTTTTCGATCTCGATGTCTCAGTTTTTAAATTTTCGATTTTACTTTTGGGTTTTTCAATTTTTCGATTTTCCAGTTTTTCGATTTTCAAAGTTTAGATTTTACGATTCCTCATTTTTTTATTTTTCAGTTCTTCAGTATTTCTATTTTTCAATTTTTCAAATTTTGACGTTGCTAGATTTTCTTTCCAATGTTTCGATTTTTCGGTGCTTCAGTTCTTCAATTTTTGACTTCCCGATTTTCGATTTTTCAATTTTCAAATTTGCAATCTTTTTACTTTTCCATTTTTCCCTTTTTCCATTCTTCAGTTTTTCGAATTTTCAATTTTCTTGTTTACTGATTTTTTGATTGTTCGATTTTCGGTTTTGGATTTTCGAGTTTTGCAATTTTAATTTCACGATTTTTCAATTTTTCGATTTCCCTACTTTTCAATTTATGGATATCTCGATTTTTCAATTTTTCGATTTTTCGAATTCCTGATTTTTGATTTTTTGAATGCTCGATTTATTGATTTTTCAATTTTTTATTTTTCCAATTTTCGATATTTCAGATTTTCTATTCTTCATTTTTTTATTTCAATTTGTTTACTTTTTGATTTTTCAATTTTCGAATTTTTAATCTTTTTACTTTTCGGTTTTTCAGTTTTTTCATTCTTCAGTTTTTCAAGTTTTCAATTTCTCAATTTTCCATTTTTTTAATTTTTCATTTCGATTTCTCGATTTGTTGATTTTCAGTTTTTCGATTTTTAAATTTTAGATTTACGAACTTTACTCTTTTTGATGTTTCGATTTCTCAATTTTTAATTTTTCAATGTTTTAAATTTTAAATTTTTAGGCTTTTCGTTTTTCCAGTTCTTCAATATTTTTAAATGTTTTTTTTTGACGCTTCTTAATTTTGACGTTTCTTAATTTTCAGTTTTCCGATTTCTCAATTAATCTTGTTTTTGATTTTCCCATTTCTCGACTTCTCAAAGTTTCGATTCTTTCCAATTTTTCGATTTTTCAGGTATTTTGATTTTTTAATTTTCGATTTTTTAAGCTTAGAATTTCTCGCCTTTGCTTTTTTAGTTTTTCGATTTTTCACTTCTCCAATTTTTTTATTTCTCATTTTTTGGACATTTCTTTCAGTTTTAGAATGTTTCTGCATTTTGATTTTCGACTTTTCAATTTTTGAACACCTAGATTTTTTATTTCTCGATTTCTTACTTTTCGGATTTTTAATTTTTTGTTAAACTTCAGATTTTTCAATTTTTCGACCGTTTCATATTTCGATTTCTCCATTTTTCAACTTTTCGATGTTTTGATTTTTCGATTTTTAAAATTCTACGTTTTTCGATCTCTCGAGTTTTCATTTCTTCGATAATTCAATTCTTAGATTTTCTGATTTTTCAATTTTCGGTCTTTCCAATTTTCCTTTTTTAAAAATTTTCGATTTTCAAATTTTTTGATTTCTCGATTTCTCAATTTTTCAATTTTTAACTTTCCTTCTCGGCCTTGAATCTTCGATACTCTGATTTTTGGATTTCTCGGTTTTTCCATTTTTTACTTTTGGGCTTTTTAATTTTTCGATATTACGATTTTTCAGTTATTCGATTTTTAAAATCCTGGAGTTTTGATTTCTCGATTTGTCGACTTTTCAGTTTTTCTATTTTTAAATTTTAGGTTTTCGAATTTTTATTTTTTGATTTTTTGATGTTTGGATTTCTCCGTTTTTCATTTTTGCGATATTTTAATTGTTTTAAATTTTAGATTTTTCGATTTCTCAGTTTTTTGATTCTTCAGTTCTTCAGTATTTCTCTTTTTCAATTTTTCAAATTTTGACGTTGCTGAATTTTCAGCTTTTCGATTTCTCAATTAATCAATTTTTGATTTTCCCATTTCTCGACTTCTCGAAGTATTGATTTTTCAGTTCTTCAATTCTTCAATTTTTCGATTTTTCGACTTCGCTTTTTTGGTTTTTCGATTTTCTCAATTTTCCAATTTTTTAATTTCTCAATTTTTCGATTTTCAATTTTTCGATTTTTCTTTTTGTTGCGAATATTTGATTCATCGGATTTTCGATTTTTCTGTTTTTCAAAATTCCATTTTTCAATTTCTCGATGTTCGAATTTTAATTTTTTTACCTTTAGATTTTTGATATCCAATTTTCACTTTTTTTCTGTTCGACTTATCGATATCTCGATGTTTCAATTTTCCGATTTTTCGACTTTCCGATTTATCGAATTTTCGATCTTTCGATATTTCAATTTTCAATTGTTTTAATTTTCCATTTTCCGACCTTTGACTTGCTTTGATTTTTCGATTTTTGATTTTTCGAATTTTCGATATTTCAATTTTTCTATTCTTCATTTTTAGACTTCAATTTTTTTCAATCTTCATTTTTCGGTATTCGAATTTTCAATTTTTTTACTTTTCCATTTTTCAATTGTTCCATTCTTCAGATTTATGAATTTTCAACTATTTTGTTTTTCAATTTTTTGATATTTCGATTTTTCGGTTTTCCGATTTTTCGATTTTCAATTTTTCGATTTTTCTTTTTTTCGAATATTATTTTGATTCATCGGATTTTCGATTTTCCTCTTTTCGAAATTCCATTGTTCAATTTCTCGATGTTCGAATTTTCATTTTTTTACTTTTAGATTTTTGATATTCCAATTTTCATTATTTTTCTGTTCGACTTATCGATATCTCGATGTTTCAATTTTCCGATTTTTCGACTTTCCGATTTATCGAATTTTTGATTTTCTATTTTTCGATCTGTCGATATTTCGATTTCCAATTTTTTTAGTTTTCCATTTTCTGACCTTTGAGTTTTCGCATTTTGATTTTTCGAAGTTTCGATATTTCAATTTTTCTATTCTTCATTTTTGACTTCAATTTTTTTACTTTTAGATTTTTCGGTAATCGAATTTTCAATTTTTTTTCTTTTCCATTTTTCAGTTGTTCCATTCATTAGATTTTCGAATTTTCAATTTTTTTTCTTTTCCATTTTTCAGTTGTTCCATTCATTAGATTTTCGAATTTTCAAATTTTTTGTTTTTTGATTTTTTCTTTAGATTTTTCAGTTTTCCGATTTTTCGATTTTCAATTTTTCGAATTTTCTCTTTTCGAATGGAATTTTCGATTTTTCTATTTTTCAAAATTTTATTTTTCGATTTTTCGAGATCAGAATTTTCAATTTTTTTACTTTCCATTTTTCAGTTTTTCCATTCTTCAGGTTTTGGAATTTACAATTTTTTTTATTTGTGGATTTTCGGTCAGTGGATTTTCAACTTTTCCATTTTTAATTTTTCGATTTTTCAATTTTTCGACTTTTTGACTTTCTGATTTTCAGTTTCTTTTCTTTCCGATTTATAGATTTCTCGATTTTTCTTCTTCCCAACTTTCGATTTATCAATTTTTCGAATTCTTGATTTTTCAGATTTTCTATTCTTCATTTTTAAACTTCAATTTTTTTACTTTTAGATTTTTCAGTAATCGAATTGTCAATTTTTTTACATTTCCATTTTTCAGTTGTTCCATTCTTCAGTTTTCCGATTTTTCGATTTTTCTATTTTTCGAAATTCCATTTTTCGATTTTTCGAGATCAGAATTTTCAATTTTTTTACTTTTACATTTTTCAGATTCGGGAATTTTCAATTTTTTTGTGTGGATCATGGGGGAAAGAATTTATAAGTATTTATAAGTATAATTCTTTCCTCCATGATGTGAATTTTCGGTCATTGGATTTTCGACTTTTCCATTTTTAATTTTTCGATTTTTCAATTTCTCGATTTTTGACGTTTTGACTTTCTGATTTTCTTTTCTTTCCGATTTTTCGTCTTCCCAATTTTCGATTTATCAATTTTTCAATTTTTCGAATTCTCGATTTTTGAGTTTTTCTATTTTTCATTTTTGAACTTAAATTTTTCAATTTTCGAATTTTCAGTCTTTTTACTGTTCGACTTTTCAATTTTTTCGATTCTTAATTTTTGGACTTCAATTTTTTTACTTCTCGATATTCCAGTTTTTCCATTCTTCAGATTTTCGAATTCTCCATTTCTTTAGTTTTAGATTGCTTATTTTTCGATTTTTCGATTTTTAGATTTTCTGGTTTTCAGTTTCTTTTCTTTCCGATTTATGGATTCCTCGATTTTTCGACTTCCCGATTTTCAATCATCAATTTTTAAATTTTCGATTTTTCCATTTTTTGAGATTTTAATTTTTCAATATTTTCAAATTTTGAATTTCTAAATTTTAAGTTTTCCAATTTCTCAATGGGTCTATTTTTTGATTTTTCCGATTTCTCGACTCCCCAAAGTTTCGATTTTTCAGTTCTCTAGTTCTTCAATTTTTCCATTTTTTAAGTTTGCGATTTATCGACTTTGCTTTTTTGACTTTTCGATTTCCCAATTCTTCAATTTTTCAATTTCCCAATTTTTAGATATTTCGTTCAATTTTTAAAATTTTAGGTTTTTCGATTTCTCTAGTTTTCAGTTCTTTTATTTTTCAATTTCTCAAATTTTGGAATTTTTAAATTTTCCATTTTCCAATTTTTCGAGTATCCGACTATTCAATTTACATTACATTTAAAGAATTAATTCTTAATTAAACTGTTTCCCGTAGAAATTCTAAACGCTTAGAGTCGACATTGGCTTGAGCGCGCTCCGGTCTATGGATCAAACAAGTTCTCAGACGACGAAATAACGTTTTAGAAAAGAAATGAAGAAACTTCACAAGCTATTCTACACCAGAGTTTGGATAAGCGTAATTGGTAGCCTTTGCTCAAAAACTGCTTTCTTTCTTTTTGTAATGACCTACGTATGGATGGGTCACAACGTATCTGCTGAGACTGTCTACTACATTTTGAGCTGTTTTAACGATTTAGAAGGTTCACTTAGTAGCGAAATACCTTTCGGATTTTCTCTATTTGCTCAAGGATTTGCAACGGCTACAAGAATTGAAAGCGTAATGAAAGCACCAGAATTACCAACGAAAGAGACAATAACTGATCCAAAGCAAGCAAAAGTTTGTTTCAACAATGTAGATGTCACCATTCACGATACTAAAATTTTGGAAAACATATCGTTGGATATTAGTGACGGTCTTAATGTCGTTGTTGGTCACACGGGTGGTGGAAAAACCACACTTTTGAAAACAATTTTGGGCGAGTGTCAAACTACAGGAAAAATTGACGTTTGTGGAAGAATTTCCTATGCATCACAAGAACCTTGGCTCTTTCCTTCCACCATCAAAAATAACATCCTGTTCGGAGAAGAATTCAACCAAAACCGCTATCACCAAATTCTCGAAATTTGTAGTCTAGATTACGACTTAAATTTACTGCCTGAAGGTGAAAACACAGTTGTGGGAGAAAGTGGTATCAATCTGAGCAAAGGCCAACAAGCTAGAATAAATCTAGCACGAGCTTTATACAGAAAGAGCGACATATACTTACTGGATGATTGTCTTGCTTCTCTTGATGGTAATGTAAGTGACAGCGTTTTCCAAAAATCCATTTGTGAGTTTCTCAAGGACAAGATACGCATTTTTGTGACCAGTAGCACCGATTATGCACAAAGGGCAGATAAAGTCATTGTTGTGAATTCGAAAAGTGTTAAATTCGGCGACGATGTTGACAAGACTCAAGTTTCATATACCTTTGACAACATAGAAGGATCTGCTAGATTAAATTCGACAGAAAGTCATGATGGAGATTCTTTGGAAAAGCAGATCTACCACGAGAAGAAAAAGTCTGGAGTAGTTCCTTTGCGTAACTACGTCAGATACGTGGAGCATGGTGGAGGTCTTACATTGTTTATAGTGATAGTGTCCCTTTTTGTCTTGAACCAGTACACAATTGGCTACAGTGATAAACTTTTGAGCACTTGGTGAGACGAGTTTTTTAATGATCTTAAATTAAAGTGATGATTTCAGGATTACTATAGAACAAAACTTGACAAATATTAAGGTATTAAATGAAACAGATAGTCCAGAGTATGATAGTCTTTACCAAGAACGACAATATGCGTTGGGTCTGTATACTATCATGGTCCTTACGTCTATTCTTCTCCTTGTGATTAAACTATTTTCGTACTTTTATTTTACCCGAAAGGCATCAATCAGCTTACATAAAGCTGTGGTTCGCAATATTATGAACAGCACTATGAACTTTTTTGATACATTTTTTATTGGTAATGTTGTAAATCGGTTTACTAAAGATTTTGTGACTGTGGATGAAACTTTACCCTTTGAGGCTATAGAATGCTTTACGGTAATTAAAGAACTACTTAGTTGTAGAAAAGAGACATTACTGACATTACTTGTTACAGATGATTTTTACTGTATCAGGTGGAATAATACTACTAACAACAGTTAATTACGTCTTTCTTGTCGAAAGTCTTCTACTTTTAGTCGCTGCTTGCGTAGTAAAACAATTTTGTCAACCCACTGGTCGTAATTTGGAACGTCTTCATATCATATGTATGCGTATATTAATTAGTTTCGTATTTTTTATAATTTTCTTTTAGCTAGAAGCCCTCTAACTGGTCATCTCAACTCGACCTTGGAAGGTCTAACCACAATAAGATCCAGCAACGCCCAAAAAGTCGTCATACATGAATTTGACAGACACCAAGACCTATTTACTTCCTCATTCTTAATGGCAATCACCAATTTCATCACCCTGAGTGTCTTTCTAAAATATCTTTCTACAGTTTTCACCAGTTTAATAATTTTCCAGTTTCTATTAACACAGATGGGTAACTATAAAAAAAATTAAATTAGCAAAAAAATTACGTATATATATATTTTCACAGATAGCAGCGTAGGTGACGTAGGTCTAGCCATAACCCAGGCTTTCGTCATCAGCAATATCATCACCTCAGGAATCAGCAGTGTCGCAGATTGTGAAAACCTGATGATCTCAGTTGAAAGACTTTTGGAATTTACAAAACTACAAGAAGAAGATACAGATGGTAAAATTTTGATCGGCTGGCCACAATTCGGTTCCATAATCTTCAGCGACGTTTCTCTAACTTACAAAGACACCAAGATGTTAAGCAACATCAACTTCGGCGTCAACCCGAAACAGCAAATCGGTATTGTCGGTCGAACCGGTGCCGGAAAATCCTCTATAATCACAAGCCTATTTCGTCTATACCCAACTCAAGGAAAAATCACCATCGATGGAGTTGATATTGACGATATTTCGTTAAAGTGGCTTCGATCAAGCGTTTCTGTCGTCACTCAAGATCCTTACTTGTTTCCAGGGACCATACGAGAAAACTTGGACCCTGTGAAGCAGTACACGGACGAACAGATGTGGAAGGTCTTAAAGGAACTACAACTAGATGATTTAGTTAAAGATTTGGATACTACAGTTGATAAAGGAACCACTTTCAGTACCGGTCAGAAACAACTACTATGTTTGGGACGTGTCATTCTTCGGAAGAATAAGATTGTGGTTCTTGACGAAGCGACGGCTAATGTTGACAAAGACACCGAACGACTGATACAGGAAACAGTCCAGAAACACTTTAAAGACTGCACTTTGTTAATTATCGCTCACAAACCTTTAACAGTACTGAATTGTTCAAAAACAATGGTGTTAAATAGTGGTAGAATAAGCTCATTTAGTGAAACTAAACAAATTTGTTAAAAAATTCAGCAAGCAACATTACATGTCATAATAATTTTGCATGGCCACTAATCCCACTCTCACCTCATACGTGATGTAAGATTTATTAGTGTACACTTAAGTAAGTGTAATTATGCTTATAATGCCATATATTCTTCAAGATAACTGTCCAACGAATGATCCATTTCCGAAAAACCGTTTTTTTAAAGCGTATAATATTTTATGGTGTGGTGTTACGATGGTCAACAAGTCTTAAATAAACCATTTATTTTGCACACACTTCGGCGCAATTATAATACAAAAATAAATAGTAGATAATATTCTCGGAACATACATTATGTACATAATAGATGACGGAATATAAAGTTTTTATGTTTTTTGCGGTGTGGTTATTTTTGATGTTATATAATAATTGTCTGTAACAAGTAGGTACTTTATTTATTTTTAGCGAAGACTAGCATGACGTTTCGTTTTTATTTTCATATATGTTATTGTATTGTGTATCTCGTTATGTGGCAGAAATTTAGAGATTACGGAGCTGTGTTTTAGTTTGTCATTATTATTTATACTTGGATTTGACGCGTCCAGATATTAGTCGATTCATTTTAACAGTACAAACTAGGTTAATATTTATTTCCTTTGTGGATAGGGTTTTTTATTTACCAATATTTCAACTGTCAACTGAGAAAGGCAATAAACAAGAATCATTTCTGAGAAGTTTAAAATGGTTTTAGTTGTGGTTAGTTAAAAGAATTATTAACATTTTGTCCCAGTCCAAAAAAATATGTTGTTTTTGTTTTCTTAATTCCTACTAAGAACCAAGAGCAATGTTATAAAAGGATTAAGTACTTTAAAATTTCTCAGAATTTCAGTTTTAATCCAAATCCGTCAATACGTTTTATAAATTTTTTAGAATGTAAATAAAAAAAATATTAAACTAATTTCTTTCTACGCTTTGTATAGAACTATTGATTTGTAGAAATTTGAATGTCTTTCAAAATGAAAATTAAAATTTATCTATTTTTCCCCACCGAAATAGGTCAGATCAGGTTAAGTCAGGTCATTTCAGATTTCTCTCACGTTTTCTAGAGTACAAAAAAAATAGAACTCTTGTTTGCGTCTGTCTGTGGGTTGTCATATATCGCCTGTGTAGATATTTATTAGACACATATTCTCCGAAACTATTGGATTGGATTTTTCGATTTTCGATTTTTTCATTTCTGATTAATCGAATTTTCGATTTTTCTATTGTTCAATTTTCACTTTTTCGTGGAATTTTCGATTTTCTTTTTAGCGAAATTCCATTTTTCTATTTTTCGATATTCGAATTTTCAATTGTTTTTCTGTTCGATTTATCGATATCTCGATGTTTCAATTTTTCGATTTTTCGACTTTTCGATTTCGAATTTTCGATTTTTCAATTTTTAGATTTTCTGTTTTTTGATCTATCGATATTCGAATTTTCGATATTTTAATTTTTCCATTCTTCATTTTAAGACGTCAATTTTTTATTTTTAGATTTTTCGCTATTCGAATTTTTAACTTTTTTATTTTTCGATTTTTTGACTTTCTGATTATCAATTTCTTTTCTTTTCGATTTATGGATTTCTCGATTTTTCTTTTTCCCAATTTTAGATTTATCAATATTTCGAATTCTCGATTTTTCAGATTTTCTATTCTTCATTTTTAAACTTTAATTTTTTACTTTAAAATTTTTCAGTTTTCGAATTTTCAATCTTTTTATTTTTCGATTTTCAATTTTTCAATATTTTGATTGTCTGATTTTCAGTTTCTTTAATTTCCGATTTATAGACTTCTCGATTTTTTGACTTCTCGATTTTCGATTTTTCAATTTTTAACGAATTCTTAATTTTTCAGTTCTTCTATTCTTCATTTTTGCACCTCAATTTTTTTACTTTTAGATTTTGCAATCTTTTTACTTCTCGATTTTTTTTCGAATTTTCGATTTTTTGATTTTTCAATTTTTTGTTTTTTCCGGTTTTCGATTTTTCAGTTTTTCTATCCTTCATTTCTTTACTTCAATTTGTTTACTTTTTATTGTTTGATTTCGGTTTTTGGATTTTCGACTTCATATTAGTTTTTTTCATTTTTAGCTTTTCTAATCTTCATTTTTTGACTTCAATTTGTATACTTTTTGATTTTGGAATTTTCAAATTGTCAATTTTTTTACTTTTTCGATATTTCGTTGTTCCAATCTTCAGATTTTCGAATTTTCGATTTTTCGATTTTTCGACTTTCCGATTTTTGATTTTTTGAATGTTCGATTTATTGAATTTTGAATTTTTTTTATTTTTCCAATTTTCCATTTTTAGTTTTTCTATTCTTCATTTTTGGACTTCAATTTGTTTACTTTTTGATTTTTCAATTTTAGAATTTTCAATTTTTTTTACTTTTCGATATTTCAGTTTTTCCATTCTTCAGGTTTTCGAATTTTCAATTTTTTTAAATTCGACTCTTTGATTTTCAGTTTCTTTTGGATTGATGGATTTCTCGATTTTTCAGTTTTTCCATTTTTGGACTTCCCGATTTTTGAATTTTTTAATGTTTGGTTTATTGAACTTTCAATTTTTTTATTTTTCCAATTTTCGATTTTTAGGTTTTCTATTTTTCATGTTTTGACTTCAATTTGCTTGCTTTTTGAATTTTCAACTTTCAGATTTTCAATTTTTTTTCTTTTTCGATATTTCAATTTTTCCATTCCTCAGATATTCGAATTTACATTTTTTTTATTTTAGATTTTTTGATTTTTCGACTTTCGGTTTTTGGATTTTTGACTATTCCATTTTTGAGTTCTCGATTTTTCAATTTTTCGATTTTTTGATTTTCTGATTTTCACTTTCTTTTCCTTCCGAGTTACGCACTTCTCGATTTTTCAATTTTCCGATTTTTCGACGTCCCAATTTTTATTTTTCGAATTTTCAATTTTCCGATTTTTCAATTTTTCTATTCTTCTTTTTTTAAATTCAATTTTTTTACTTTTGGATTTTTCAATTTTCGAATTTGCAATCTTTTTACTTTTCGATTTTTCAGTTTTTCCGTTCTTTAGATTTTCGAATTTTCAATTTTTTCCTTTTTTGATTTTCAGTTTCTTTTCTGTTCGATTTTTCGATTTCCCGACTTTTCGATTGTCTTCATTTTTTGACTTCAATTTGTTTACTTTTTCGATATTTCAGTTTTTCCACTCTTCAGATTTTCAAATTTTCGATTTTCTTATTTCCGATTTTTTGATTTTTCGATTTTCGGTCATTGGATTTTCTACTTTTCCATTTTTGATTTCCCGACTTTTCAATTTGTCGATTTTCTGACTTTCGATTTTCGATTTCTTTTCTTTTCGATTTATGGATTTTTCGATTTTTCGGTTTTTCGATTTCTCGACTTTTCGAATTTCAGTTTTTTTTTTCGATTTATGGATATCTCGAGTTTTCAATTTTTCGATTTTTCGACTTCCCGATTTTTGATTTTTTGAATGTTCGATTTATTGATTTTTCAATTTTTTTGATTTTTCCAATTTTCGATTTTTAGTTCGATATTTCAGTTTTTCCATTCTTCAGATTTTCGAATTTTCAATTTTTTTATATTATTCGATTTTTTGATTTTTCTGTTCCCAGTTTTTGGATTTTCAACTTTTCCATTTTTGATTTCTCGATTTTTCAATTTTTCGATTTTTCGACTTCCCGATTTTTGATTTTTTGAATGTTCGATTTATTGATTTTTCAATTTTTTTGATTTTTCCAATTTTCGATTTTTAGTTCGATATTTCAGTTTTTCCATTCTTCAGATTTTCGAATTTTCAATTTTTTTATATTATTCGATATTTTGATTTTTCTATTCCCAATTTTTGGATTTTCAACTTTTCCATTTTTGATTTCTCGATTTTTGAATTTTTCGATTTTTCGACTTCCCGATTTTTGATTTTTCGAATTTTCGATTTTCCAATTTTTCAGTTTTCCTATTCTTCTTTTTTTTAACTTCACTTTCACTTCTTTACTTTTAGATTTTTCAATTATCGAATTTGCAATCTTACTTTTTGATTTTTTAGTTTTTCCGTTCTTCAGATTTTCGAATTTTCAATTTTTCCCTTTTTCTATTTCTCGACTTTTTGATTTTCAGTTACTTTTCTTTTCGATTGATGGATTTCTCGATTTTTCAATTTTTCGATTTTTCGACTTCCCGATTTTTGCTTTTTAAGTTTTTTGATTTTTCCAATTTTCGATTTTTAGTTTTTCTATTCTTCGTTTTTTGACATCAATTTGTTTGCTTTTTTATTTTTCAATTTTCAGATTTTCGAATTTTCAATTTTTTTATATTATTCGATTTTTTGATTTTTCGATTCCCTCTTTTTGGATTTTCAACTTTTCCATTTTTGATTTCTCGATATTTCAATTTTTCGATTTTTCGACTCCCGACTTTTGATTTTTCGAATTTTCGATTTTTCAATTTTTCAGTTTTCTTATTCTTCTTTTTTTTAACTTCACTTTCACTTCTTTACTTTTAGATTTTTCAATTATCGAATTTGCAATCTTACTTTTTGATTTTTTAGTTTTTCCATTCTTAAGATTTTCGAATTTTCAATTGTTTCCTTTTTCGATTTCTCGACTTTTTGATTTTCAGTTTCTTTTCTTTTCGATTGATGGATTTCTCGATTTTTCAATTTTTCGATTTTTCGACTTCCCGATTTTTGCTTTTTCAATTTTTTGATTTTTCCAATTTTCGATTTTTAGTTTTTCTATTCTTCATTTTTTGACATCAATTTGTTTACTTTTTGATTTTTCAATTTTGAGATTTTTATTTTTTTTTTACAGTTTTGATATTTCAGTTTTTCTATTCTTCGGATTTTCGAATTTTCAATTGTTTTATTTTAGATTTTTTGATTTTTCGATTTTCGGTTTTTGGATTTTCGACTATTCCACTTTTGATTTCTCGATTTTTCAATTTTCTGATTTTTCAACTTCCCAATTTTTTATTTCTCGAATTTTGGATTTTCCGATTTTTCAGTTTTTCTATTCTTCTTTTTTTGACCTAAATTTTTACTTTTAGATTTTTCAGTTTTCGAATTTTCAATCATTTTTAATTTGTCGATTTTTCAATTTTTCGATTTCTCGACTTTCCGATTTTCAGTTTTTTTTTTCGATTTCTCGATGTTTCGATTTTTCAATTTTTCTATTCATGTCCAGTACATAAAACCAATCTTTTATTTTATTTTATTTTTTTTTTTTGGAAAAGAGAAAACGATACATTTTTTATTTCAAAATTATAGACATCCCAAATTTTTCAAAAGTTATAAGGTGAACAAACTTTACAGAATTCGTTGACTGTTTGATCCAAATTTTTGCATCCTTATTTATTTCTTTGTGGATTTAGTCATAAAACTTTATATATTTTGTGAACTATTATTTAACATAGAATTTAACTGAATATCAAATTTCATATTTTGAAGTCTTAGTTCTACTGAAATAGAAAAAAAAAGCTTTTCGTTCTGTCCGCCTACCGTCTGTCTGTTCGCGACTTTCTTATACAAGCAGTTTCCTCCATTTTTGATTACACCAACAATTTGATGACTAGATTAATTTGTATTTAAATTTTAGAGAAAAATATACTTCTGCATGTGTGGTTTATTAATTCGCCTTTATTATGTACCTTGGCCATCTAGATTAAAAAAAAATCTTAGAAGTCCCCTCCAAATTCACTAGATTAATGCACCACAATAATTCTTCAATATATCAGTGTTTTGAAATTTTACTCATGCTTTGAGCTTGACAGATTGCTGTCCCCACCAAACTTGGGATGACGTCACTTCAAAATTTGCTAGTAGACTTAATATTTACCCACATTTTGCATTTTAAAATCTAATTGTTCCAAAATTCGGGTAAAACCGTGCTAATGTTGTAGTTAGAAAGTATGCAGTTAAAGAAAACCAGTTGTCAAAGGTCGAACAGATACTTTTGTTAATGATAATCGATTAAGAGTGGATTCTTATCAAAGTATTATTGATTTTTACTAGATTTGTTGCACCCTATGTGAACACGCTGTATATTGAAATCAAAGAATTGCCTCGACATGCATAACTACTTACTCACCAAGTATGTATACGTACGGTTAATTAGTTACATCGATAAGTTTGATAAACTACTAAAGAAAACAACCACACTAACAAGCCGGTAATTTACCACAAATCTCGCATTTCGACCAGCTCTTAGTTCCGCCTATGCTGTCGTAAACTATAAATTAGCGCCACATCCGCCAAGAGACAGATTGATTTAAAAATTGTCCAGCGTGCAGTGTTGTGTCGTCACTTGCTGTTATCATGGACCAGGGAATCAAACCACAAAAACAAGTCCATCCGAGAGAAACTGCCAACATCGTCTCACTAATAACATTCTTGTAAGTAGTACCAATTAGCGCATCAGCGTTAAGTGCGCAAAAATCGTACTTTTTCAGTTACTCCTTTAACTTATTCAAACGAGGCTTTAAAAAGGACCTGGACGAAGATGACATGTACGAGGTCCTGGTCAGCTGCAAGTCCAAGAATCTGGGCGACCAAATGGAGGCGCAATGGGACTTGGATAAAAAAAAGTACAAGACGCCGTCGCTCCTGCGGGTACTGTGGGCCTGCTTTGGGAAAACCTACCTTGTATTTGGAGTGGTGCAGCTCATTATGAGGACCGTTCTTGTGTATGTGTGGATTTTTTTTACCTATGTTATGTAGATCGAGTATCGCGTGACGTTTGATTTAGTACGACACTTTTTTTTTCTGGCAATATTACTGTTATTAGTAGAACAATAATATTTAATTTTCCGTAAACTTATAATACAGTGTGTGTTTACCATTTTCAAGGTAGCGAGGGTTTCATGTTACACGTGCTGGATAGTATTATTAAACATTTGTTACGTAATGGGACTAATTTAGTTTTTCATCGGAAGTGCGACAATGCGCTGCTTGAAAAATATTTTAAATATAGTAATCATTTTAAGAGTACTATTATTAGGGAAAATAAACATGTCATGATTTATGTCCTTTTGTAATTTGTGCGAAATTTTTTAAGCGAATATTTCAGTGCACTTATTAGTATTATTATCACTATGTAGCCTTGAAGATGGATATTTAGTCAAAACTAGTCGCAAAAAACTTTACTCAAAATTATCGTCTCTAAAATACATACTAAGTACATGTTTGTGTACACTTAACAGATGAATGATGAACAACATCATAGGTAGTAAAAACTGGTTTAAATGTTATTTAGACAGAACTTCCACCATTCCTAAAACACACGTTATAAGACATTTTTGAATAATCATAAATTCTGTAATTAATTTGAGTAATCACAATTTCGACGTCATATTTTTCTAAGAATTTCACAGAACTGAAATGAACCATTTTTGAAATTAAAAAAAGAAAAGAACATTTTAAACTATAATCCATTCCATGACCCCTAGAGTATGAAAAAGTAGGTCCTTCGTTTCCGTTTATGTGTGGTCTATCTGTGGTATTTCATTTGTGTCGATATCTTATTAGACAGATAATCACTGAACACAATTTTGACACCACTTCAAAATTTGGGATAGTAAATCCTACTTAGATTTTATACAATAATATACCTACTCCTGTATTTTTGGTTTATGAATCCACCCCAACTTTGTTTATTATTTTTATTATTTAGCTGTTCTAATGGCAAAACTAAACACCCTTTATATTTTTACATATTCTCATTAGTTTCTTTCTAGGTATGTGGTTGTAAACCATAATTTATTTTCGAAATTTCGGTCCAACGTTGCCACATTTCACATTATTGCAATTTTTTTTGAAATTTTTTAGCAATATTATATTTTGCCTTTTTTTCTTAAGATACATAGGAATTCTTTGAACAACATGATACTCAAACACATGTTTTTACTATCTTGTAAAAAAATAAATATTTTGCAGTTAAGCTCACGACGAAAAAAAATCATCACAATTGAGGTAGGGTGGGTGGGCGGGTCTACATTTTGCTTTTTTGTTTTAATATGTGTAGACTTCTTTTCACAATATGAAACTTAAAATATGTTTGAAATGGAAAATTTGTATAAGGAAACATCGATTTTGCAATTAGGTTCCGCGCCATAATTACAAAATCCATATTTCCTTGCAAAAATGTACTATTTTAACCAAGTTTCTTGTTGTGAAAAGATGGCTATGTATATTAAGAAACCAGAAGGCAAAATATAAGCCCAGCTTATATTAGACAGATATTCTCCGAAACTACTGGATTCGATTTTTTTTCGATTTTCAAATTTTCGAATTTTCTTTTTTTCGAATATTTGATCATTATCTATTTTTCGGTTTTCGATATTCGAATTTTCGATTTTTCGATTCTTGGTTTTTCGAATTTTCGATATTTCAATTTTTTCATTCTTCATTTTTAAATTTTAATTATTTCACGTTTAGATTTTTCGGTATTTGAATTTTCACTTTTTAATTTTAGATTTTTCAGTTTTTCCATTCTTCAGATTTTCGAGTTGCCAATTTTTTCCATTTTTGATTTTTCGTATTTCTGATTATCAATTTTTCGATATTCGAATTTTCAGTTTTTTCTTTTCGCTTTTTCAGTTTTTCGATTCTTCAGATTTTCTAATTGTAAATTATTTATTTTTCGATTTTTTGACTTTTTGATTTACCGATTTTTCGAGTTTCAATTTATAGCATTTTCTTTTTGTCGAAATTCCAATTTTCGATTTTTTGATATTAGAATTTTCAATTTTTTATTCTGATTGATTTATCGATATCACGATGTTTCAATATTCCGATTTTTCGACTTTCTCTTTTTTCCAATTTTCGATTTTTCAATTTTTTGATTTTCGATATTCGAATTTTCAATTTTTTGCTTTTCGATTTTTCGACATTTGATTTTTCGAATTTTTGTTATTTCAATTTTCCATTCTTCATTTTTAGACATTTGGGAATTGGAATTTTCAATTTTTTTATTTTTCGATTTTTCAGTTATTACGTTCTTCGGATTTTCGAATTTTCAAATTTTTTATTTTTCAATTTTTGATTTTTCGACTTTTCGGTTTTCCGATTTTTCGATTTTCAATTTTTCGAATTTTCCTTTTTCCGAATATTTTGATAGATCGAATTTTCGATTTTTCCATTTTTCGATATTTGAATTTCGATTTTTTTTACTTTTAGATTACCTATTCGATGTTCGAATTTTCAATTTTTTTTCTGTCGATTTATCGATGTCTCGATGTTTCAATTTTCGGATTTTTCGACTTTCCAGTTTTTCAAATTTTCGATTTTTCAATTTTTTGATTTTCGATATTCGAATTTTCAATTTTTTACTTTTCGATTTTTCGACCTTTGATTTTTCGATTCTTGATTTTTTGAACTTTCGATATTTCTATTTTTTCACTCTTCATTTTTAAACTTTAATTATTTCACGTTTAGATTTTTTGGTATTTGAATTTTCACTTTTTAATTTTAGATTTCTCAATTTTTCCATTCTTCAGATTTTCGAATTGTCAATTTTTTTTCCGATTTTTCGGATTTCTGATTTTCAATTTTTCGATATTCGAATTTTCAGTTTTTTCTTTTCGTTTTTTCAGTTTTTCGATTCTTCAGTTTTGCTAATTGTAAATTATTTATTTTTTGATTTTTTGGACTTTTTGGTTTACCGATTTTTCGAGTTTCAATTTATCGCATTTTCTTTTTGTCGAAATTCCAATTTTATATTTTTTGATATTAGAATTTTCAATTTTTTATTCTGTTTGATTTATCGATATCACGATGTTTCAATATTTCGATTTTTCGACTTTCTGTTTTTTCCAATTTTCGATTTTTCAATTTTTTTATTTTCGATATTCGAATTTTCAATTTTTTACTTTTCGATTTTTCGACATTTGATTTTTCGAATTTTTGATATTTCAATTTTTCCATTCTGTTCGATTTATCGATGTCTCAATGTTTCAATTTTCGAATTTTTCGACTTTCCAGTTTTTCGAATTTTCGATTTTTTATTTTTCGATCTTTCCAAATTGGAATTTTAAATTTTTGTACTTTTTCATTTTTCAGTTTTTCCATTCTTCAGATTTTCGAATTTTCGATTTTTTTATTTTTCCATTTTTGATCTCTCGACTTTTCAATTTTTCTATTTTTTTTGACTTTTTTTTTGCCAAGATGGATGCCAATAGTAGTAGTCAGTCCGGTACGTCTGCACAAATCTGCAGAAAATGTAAATCAAAAGTTGTCAGTGCATTAAAATGTATATCGTGTGATAATGTGTACCACCTTAGTTGTGCCAAGGGTGTATCTTATGTAAAAATTTTGGACAGTAAGTCTTTAGTTTGCTGTGATAAAGTGAAAATGCCTCCTGTTGTGTGCGAAGATTCTGAGTTTTTTGAAGCAATGGAACAAATGAGTGGACCTGAGAAAAAGGTTGATATTGCTGTTTTCAATTATATTATTAAACAAAAAGACGAAATTATAAAGGAGCTAAGGGATCGTGTAAAAACGCAAAGTGAGATGATAGACATTTTGATAAAAAGTTCGAACAACTTGGGAGGCTCCACTGATTGTAGTTTATCATCAATGGACGCTTTTTCGAGTAAGATTATGAATAAAAACGTGAGTGGTGTGGAAGCAAGAAAAGTGGTAAACAAAAGTGAACCTGAAATACGGAACACTATTATTTATCCTAATACGAATTCATGTAATGAAGTTGATCTAAATAATTCTTCAGACAATGGTAAAAATCCTTCTGAGAAGGAGGTAACAGGTGATACTTTAAAACGTCGGCCGAAAGTAAGTAAGTTAATTATTGGCTCAGCAGATATAGCTTCTAGTTCAGGTTCGTCAGATTTGTCATCGAGTGATCATGATTTCGTAGCTGTCACCAGAAAAAAAAGCAGTCATATACATATTACAAGAGTAAACCCTAATGTTGATGTGAACAAGATTACTGATTATATCAAATTTAAGTTAAAATCCCATGAAGAAGTGCTGAAAAATAAACGTCTTCCTGACTTTAAGCTTATTAAATTGGACTCTAAATTTCCTGAGTTATATAGTTCTTTCAAACTTACTATCGATTTTGTATATCAAAATGATATTCTGGCTGCATCTTTTTGGCCCAAGGGTGTAGCGGTAAGGAAGTTTTTTCAATCGAAATCCATACATTTACAGCATAACACATAATTACAGAGCGTCAGAATTTTGTTCTACTCTTTTTTATAATGAGCTATCCTTACTGTTCTATTTTTTTTTTTTTTCTTGATGTTTAGATATATTTTGCAGGCATACGTTGTATTTAATTATTTATTTGTAAGATAGACTACTATTTACTTTTGTTTTGTATTCTGTAATTGGAGATTAATCTCTGTTGAGTACAATAAATTATTATTATTATTATTATTATTATTTCCGATTTTCAGTTTCTTTTCTTTTCCATTTATGGATTTCTCGCTTTTTCGACTACAGGATTTTCGATTTATCAATTTTTCAATTTTTCGAATTCTAAATTTTTCTCTTTTTCAGTTTTTCAATTTTGAACTTCAATTTTTTTTCTTTTAAATTTTTCAATTTTCGAATTTTCAATCTTTTTACTTTTTTCAGCTTTTCATTCAATTTTTCGAATTTTCTATTTTTTATTTTTCGAATTTTCGATTTTTCATTTTTTTCTATTCTTTATTTTTAGACTTCA